AGCCGAAGGTTCCTTTCCTACCTTCACTTACCAGCCATGTAATAACACTAACAGCTGAGGTGCTCACGTAGATGCTGGTCAACAGGAAGATGGTCCAGCTAGCCTTGGAAACGTAGTTATCCTTATCTCGGTCCCCTGATATGTTCGCTGGATTAGCAGGGTTGTCTGCACATGCCTTCCTCAGTTGGCACAATTGCACTATCAGGAGCACAAAGCAAAGCAGTGTGGGAACAGCAGTTGGTAAGGTAAATTGGGCCAGGTTATTAAGGTGGTATGCGGTGTAGCTCATGCCATACTGCTCCTTTTGCATAGTTAAAAGCGTCAACCCAAATCCCGGCTGACATTTCATAACCAATGTCTTCACCATTGACACTTGGTTGTGTGTTCCTATCTTTTCAGTGAACTGCCACAAATCGATCCCAACAATAACCGTCCAAATGAGCATGTACAGCAGAATGCACACATAAAGAGCCTTCTCGTTGATTTTGTAATGCGGTTTTACGATCTGGATGCACCTGAATACCCCCAAGACACACTGCATGAAGACGCTCATCTTGACAGCTACTCCCGTTAAGATGTAGCTGATAAAGGTCAGAACTGTTATGTTGGGGATGTCGCTGCCCTTTGCGATCATCAGATATAGGATAATGCTCTGAAACAGGACTCCTAATCCTACGAACAAGTCTGCCAGTCCATTTTGGAGGATAAGGACATCTACCAAGTTGGTAGATCGACGCGTTTGAAGCCTGGTGTATACCATGGTGATGAAAACAACAGATAGATAGACACAACAGGTAGCTAAAAAAACATTCACAGTTGTCACAGCTATCAGGCCAGTTTTGGAATCGGTGGAGTTATAAAAACTGACCTCCTCACATGGTATTTCTTTTCCCCAGCATGAGCATGCCACTTTGATAATTGTAGACCCAGACCTTTTTACGGTTTCATCACAGCCATCTTTTAGCATCTCCATATTCACTTCATGCGTTATTGGGCTTGTTATGGAGGGATCTTTTCTGACTGGACCGAATAGTTCGGTCACATACTGTTCTGTTCTAGACACAACAGGTAGCTAAAAAAACATTCACAGTTGTCACAGCTATCAGGCCAGTTTTGGAATCGGTGGAGTTATAAAAACTGACCTCCTCACATGGTATTTCTTTTCCCCAGCATGAGCATGCCACTTTGATAATTGTAGACCCAGAGCTTTTTACGGTTTCATCACAGCCATCTTTTAGCATCTCCATATTCACTTCATGCGTTATTGGGCTTGTTATGGAGGGATCTTTTCTGACTGGACCGAATAGTTCGGTCACATACTGTTCTGTATCATGTACTTTTAGAAAATTTGTATTCGGAATAAATCCATCTGAAATATCGTCAACAGCTAAGGTATCGCGTTCTGCAACAGTTTCTGCGATTTGTGGTGGATATTCTGTTGTCGTTGCACTCAAAGATAAAATCTCAGATGTTTGAAGTGGATACTCAGGCCAGGAATCTGTCATACTTTTTTTGAGATTCTTCTGAACACGACGGTAAGTTGTAACTGCTGACTTGATTGTACGAGGGGTGGACATCATACCCTCAGATTTATTATAAGATTGGTCATTCTGGACACAATATCCTATAGTTATTAGGAGCAAACATAATCTAACAAACACGATCATTAAAAAGAAAGTTATGCGTACAGACTATGCGTTAGTAATAGTATTATAAGAATTATAGTAGACATTTATAGTTATATACTAAGTCTAACGCATAGTAGACTATGCGCTAGTATTATATTTATAAGAATTGAAAGAATTTCAACCAACGAATCTAATTATATCTGAATGAAACGTTCGTATGAACTTAGTGTTATGCCTTCTTTTACTGAGCGGCGCGGCGCTCAGCCTGTCATTCCGCCGAATCTTTATTGTTTATGAACATAATAGCCTGGGGTCCCCAGGTAAGCCTTCTTCTAAGCTACCTTAGTGTTATGCCTTCTTCGCAGTAGAAAATCGCGGCATACAGTCTCCTAGTAATTTATTGAACAGTGTTTATCTTGTCGGTACTCAAATATATCTTTGGGCAGGCTGTTTATAAAGCTATAAAGAAGTAATTAGTGATGCATTTAAGATAACTAGCATGAACCCGTCTACCCTAAAGTGGTGTCAAGACTCGAGAGAATAAAATAATTATTACCTATTTAATTCGCGTTTTTGACACCACTTGGGAGTCCAAATTTTGGGCACTAAAATTCTTATTCCTTGACGTATTTTTAAGTTTTTCATGCTGATTTGAAGGCCATTAAAGCATTTGACCCAGTCAAAAAAGTTTCAGTTGTATATCTTTTACGGTTTTTGCGGAAAGTCGCGTTAAAGTTGATGCCCTGGTGTCAGTAAAATGGCACGGATCCATATATCCATATATATATATATATCGTCTTGCTTTATATATTAATATAGTAAGATTAGTAGACAAGATTAGTGATGCATTCAAGCTTATTAGTGATGCATTCAAGCTGTTTCAAGCTTTGGATTAATAATTGAACGACCATTAACTTTAGATTAGGAGCACAAAAAGGTTGAATTCTTTGAGATTAACTACCTTATCGGACCTTATTTGGACGGACATTACTTGGACGGACATTACTTGAACGGACATAATTATGAACGGACATTAATATGAACGCTAGAAGTAGAAGGCAATCAAAACCATCAAAAATCCGAATTTTTTCCATCATTTTTTGACGTTTTTTAAATTTTAGCAAATGATTTTTAAATCCATTTTTCATACAGTAAGCTTATCTGCGCTGTGCAGATAAGGTACGAAGGTACCTACAAGACTAGATCAGATACCGTCGGTCACATACCTAGGGAGATATCCGATCCCGGTTTGTCTTCTACTTTATCGAGATGGATGGTATGGTAGAAGGTATCGTAGCCTAAGATGAGAAGTACGGACTCGTTTAGGGGGAAAAGTACGTACTTGTACGCAACTTTGAAAAGTCCGACTCATACGACGTACGATTCAGATAGAATTTTTTTGTTTTTGAATTATTATCATCGGGGCCAGAATTCTTTGGCCAGGCAAGCATTTAAAAGTAAAACAAAAATTCTACAAAATTACTAGACAATTTACTTATTTAAACAGCTTGTTTCTCTTAAAGTTAAACTTTAAGTTAATCGACGATTGGAATATATAGAAACACAAGTTTTTGAAAACGCTCAATATTAGTCCGTAACATGCGATTTAGAACTCTTTCATCGATTTCAAGAAGGAGAACTTTTCAGTAGAATTGAAAAGTACGTACGATACGAGTCAATTGAAAAGTCCGACTCATTCGTACTTCTCATCTTAGATCGTAGCTGACATAAGCCACCAAAGGTCGCCTATACCAAGTGGGGGGCTCCGGCTAGAGATAAAGCTTAAGTTGTACTTTAGGCATTCAAGTATCTCTCTAGTAGAGCAGTTGGGATCGTTCATTGCCCGGTACGACTACGAGTTGGACAGACAACCAGTTGTAAGAGAAAATGTGGAGGTAGAAGAAGCCGAAGATCAACTTCAAGATAGTGATCATGCAATATAATGTGATATTTACAATTCAGATTGTTAAAATTTTATAATACCTTGTTTTTATTAATTCGATGATATAGTTTAGTTTAATGATAGCTATTGAAATTGACTGAAATTAAAAAGTTGTCATATTCTGGACAAAAAGTTCGAAATGAAAAAGTTTTGAAAAAAATTGAACGGACTTTAACTTGGACGGACATTAATTGAACGGACTTTATTTGAACGGACATTAAGATGAACGCTAGGGCCTCCAGCGTTCAAGTAATGTCCGTCCAAATAAGGTCCGATAAGGTAATTTAATAAGCTATTTACAGGATTTCTAAAAACATGTAGATTCAGAAACAGATTATCTACTGATCACTTCAAGACTAAAGACGGTATTGGCTATAACTACCACAGGGCGGTGCAAATTAACACTGGCTGTTCAAAGTGAGTTCTTTTTGTTTGTTTCTTTTTTAATGAAAGTTATCTTTCATTATTATCGGACGTTATTTGACCAGACATTGCGTGAACGGACATTAAAAAGAATGCTAGAAGGCGTTCAAAACACTAAAAATCCGACATTTGCTCACTTTTTTAGCGTTCTTTCTAATTTTAGCAGAGAATTTTTCAACCGATTTTTAATACATTAAGCAAGAAAAAACAGCAGTAAAAATGTAGATATAATCTAGTTTTATTAACCTGCAGCCCATTTCAAGGAAAAATAATCTCATAAAGACCGTGGTGGCGTTTGTTTTTAGGCTGAGGTATGCTATTACCAGACTGAAGACTATGCAGCAGATAGATAGCAAGGTGTTAACTTTGGTCTTATTCTAGCTCCATGCTGTTTGAACCATGTCATTTTTCTTTCTAAAATTATTTCTAGTTCATGCCAAAAATAATTGTTGTCGGCACGAAAGAAGCCTTATTTTATCTACAAAAGAAAAATTATTTTATGCTTGAAGTTTGTGTATTTTGTGGAGATATATTTAAATAAAATATTTCAGATATCAATATTTCATAAGCCGTAAGAATTTAATAAATTATATGATTGCAGGAATTTAAATTTACTGGAACATCAAAACGTCATATGCCATAATGGGATCCATTCCCCAGAATACGGTTTAATGTTTATGTTTAGCGAGAAATGAACGCTCCCGGCAAGTCTCACTTTCTCTCGAATAACTTGCGTAGGTCACTAAATTTTATTTATAATATTATCATAACCCTGGCTAGGGTTAGTCATGCAACGTATTGATATGACATGTGACTATCTAAAATAAAAGTTGTTTCTATCTTGTCTACATACGAATGAAATTGTGATACATTTTACGAAGAAAGTACCTTTTGTTATTTTTGAGTTATTTTTAAATTTTACACAAGATCTGAACTTTCTATCACAATTCTTAGTGTTAGAGAACTGTATTTATATGCATGCTTTGACAAAAATGTAAACAACAAGATCTATTGATCATATAAGATTATTTATGTTAATAATGAAAATAGTATCTGCCAAAAACGAAGTTTTACTAATTCAAGTAAAAATTCAAAAGTTAATTCAATAATCACGTTAGCAAAGATATCGTTAGTAAGATACCTTAAGATGTAAATTCCTCATATCGAGTAATGTGAATGAAAAATATCATTTAAACTATCAGACATTTTATAATCTAGATTGTCAAAAATGATATTACTATGTACAAACTTAATTATGTGGATGGTTGTATCCAACTTATATTGAATGAATAGATTTAATGTCAATGTCAGATACTTAAAACTAACAGCTAATTTAAAAGAATTCAATAAAAAATTAGAAACATCGCAAAAAATCCACAAAGAATCGTTTCTTCACATTCCACCAGGAAGCAAAACTTTGTCCTGGTTATAGTAATGATCATCTGGATCGTCATAAGCATCAGTCAAATATCCGACCACCATGGGAGGACCCGGTTCTGGCTGCAGATTTGCTCGTTTGAAGAAGTTAAACTTCCACAGACAGAAGATGAGGAGGAGGATGATGAGGAGAGCTGCGATAGCTGCAAAGATGATCACCCACAAGAAGTTCTGCCGTCTGCTCGTGCTCGGAGAGAGAAAAGTTGTTGCACTGGCGGCGGTGTGTATTTCGGACATGGTCATTGTCTCTTCGACCGACTTCAATTCTACATACGATGTGACATTGAGTTTACCAAAATCGTGCAAAAAGTATTCCTGAAGCCTGGTTGTCAAGACAATCTTGAAAGAAGTGCGACCTCTTTCGAGAAACTCTAAATTACACGTTATCTTTCGGCAGAGATCCTTATTCTCCTTGCAACTGAAGTTAGAATAAATTACGTCTGACTCACTGAAAGTCTCTTTGAAGAGTCCCCAGTTGGTCACAATCATGTCATCGTGGTCACATTTAACTTGGGCATCTGTCTCGTTCATGTTGGGGAAACTCACAGCTTCGAGAGGAAACAGCCATGCACCTTCCCCTGTGAATTTCTCCGGCCAGTAGATTGACAAAGTTATATTTTTCACGAACAAATTAATGGATTCGTCCCTCAGGGATAAGTCGTATTTGTGTCGGATCACCGGACCATCATATCCCAACAACTTGTTAGTTGCTCCGTAGTTGTTGTTATAATCCACATCGACTGGTGAGGATCCACCATTCAGTCGGAGATCAGCCAGGTTTACAATGTTAAGAGCGAATGTAGAGAAACCACTGGTGCCAGCCGCCTTTACACTCGGTTCTAAAACTGTCACCACAAACGAGAACTCGAAATCTTGTGGACTTATCAGCTTAGTCATGTTGAAGTCTAGGGGTACGGTTAGAATCTCCTCATTCATCAGTTTGGTTGGAAGCATACATTGGATGCTGTAGAGTGTATCATCCGCTAACCCCTCGACGTAGGTAGAGTTACAATCAATTGATGGCAGAAATGGGAGTATACCGGGAATGTTTTCAACATTTAGTATTGATCCGTAGGCAGTGTTTGGTCCTTTGTTGACTACTTTTACAGGCAGTCTAAACTCTTCAATCAGGCCAATAGTTAGAGGGTACTTGTCCATTTTGTCATATTGAACGTCCCCAATCTCAATAGCTACATCAGTTGTACATATTCCTGTGTCACGTGGACAATCTGAGGCGATGCCAAGAACAAAAGTAGCATCACTTATCAGCTGCTCGTTGAGGACAGCACGATCAGCAAACCTCTCCCTCTCTTCCAGCCCAGCTTCCATACTGAACACCACAGGTCGTGAGGAGTAACCCAGTTCACCCCGATAGTAAGCCGGGATAGCGGCAGTGCAAATCTTAAAACTGTTGTCCAAATCAACATCCACCCTTCCCTGGTACACTTGAGTAGGGTTGGTGTAGTTGGTGTACAGTCTAGCTTGGGAGAATGTTTCGCTGGCACTGTCTAGCTTAATTTCAAAATTAACGGTCGCAACCGCAGCACTGTCTGCCGGAGCGCCTATATACTCGAAGCATGCCTGCAGGTTTATACCTTGAACCTTTTTTCCATTTGGCACGTCCAGCGTTGGCTCTCCAAGTGGGTCCAGTTCGGTTGTAGCGTCATCCCCGTATATAGTAATAGTGATCAGAACATCAATAATGGGAATACCTCTCAATAGCACGGCATGTTGAGATTTGTATGATCCTATGAGCACGTCAGAGATGCCATTATCATCCATGTCCTTCCCTCCAGCAATACTCCAGCCAAATCCTCGGAGGCTGTCTAAAATGCCGAGTTTAGTTGGTGTGAAGATTTGGGAGGGTGTTGTCACGATCCCATCGTATCCTCCCAAAAAAAGAGAAACTTTACCCTCACCATCATTGTAGTTAGGACTTCCAACCAACATGTCGTATGCACCGTCGTTGTTCACATCCCCAGCCGAGCTCAGAGCGTACCCAAAAGTTTCTGACTCGTCAGTACCGGATATGTGTTGGAGTAAACTCAAATCATAGTCGATCGGCAGGAACTCAAACTCGTCGAATATATCGAACTTCTGAGCACCAGGATAGAAGTAAACCCGGCCAGTGTCCGGCCTGCTTTGTCCTTGACCTGGATACAAGGAGTACCACGGAGCTCCGACCACCAAGTCATCAATACCGTCTCCGTTCATATCCTGACAGAGAACACTCCCTCCGTAATAACTGCCCATCTGTTCTCCGATCAGGTCGAATGGCATTTGCTCTGTCAGAACTTGCGAGATGCCCTGCTCCGTCTGGTATATGACTACCTGACCTCGGTAAAGTTTACCCCTGGGACCGCCAGATATAACGTCCATGATTCCATCTCCGTTCATATCGCAGATTGTGGTACTGTAACCTATGTAGGGTTGGGAGTCCTCGTATTCGGGATCTTTATACGGGTCAGTGGTATCAGGGTCTATAACTAAATCTGCAGTGTCGTAGATATAGAGTCCCCCTGAACCCTCGTAGCAGCCCGGAGCACCTAACACCAGCTTGTCATCCAACCAGTGGGCTGAGGTTCCCGCTTGACAGTTTCCTACCTTGGATAGTCCTGACTCAACTCCTTTGCATGGTTGATATACCGACTCCTGGAAGTCCAAATCTTTGCCGAGCAGGATACATTTACCAGTCAACTGTCGGGGAGGGTCGTCAAAAAAGGAGGCTATCCCCAGGTACCTGGTCTCGTATTTATGAGCGCATCCTATTAAGTAGTCGGAGTCTATACTGGATTGGAGGGTAACACCCAACCACTGGTGTGACTTCTGGTCACTCTGGATGTTGTAAATATCCGTCTTGTTGTAGCTGAATTCGAAGTTACCGTGAACGTCATCACTACCAACCCACTTGTTTCCCTGATCGTCCAGTACAGTCAGCTGTTCACTGCAAACCACCGGCTCAGTGAGGTCCCCTAAATCAGTAGGCACTTTGCACTTGAAGATGGTGCCACCCTGGTCAACACCTGGCTGGGGTGTGGACGAGGTCGGGGCTCCGATTAATAGGAAGTTACCTTCACTGTTCTTGTGGAGTGCCACCGAGTAACCGAAGTAGCCCTCCGCAGCATCACTCTTGATGATGTACGGTGATTTAGTGTCCAGGTTAAAACAGTGCACCACACTGATTATTGCAGCCAAAACGGCGAGTCTCATCACTGGTGATGTATCGCTGACCAAATGGTTTATAACTATTTAACTACTCTGACGTTAGGTGTTTTACTCGGAGTAGTTGGCTGATCACATTTCCATCCAAATCAACATTTCGTAATCAAAGTGCTGAACATTCTCCTGAACGTAATGTTTTCAGATAAGAACTGGAGCGAAAGGTTTTAATTATCATTTTCTTAGTATGACAAAAGAGGTGACCTGCGTCGAATTACTGAAATCATTACTTCGCGTAATAAAAGTTTGAGTAAAAAAGCAATATATAAAACGGAATGCAAAAGTTAATTACTAAAGTACTAAGCAAGCTCATCAAAATTCAACGCACTACGGGCCCTGAGCAAATAGTTAAATTATTGGCTCATAAAAACTCTGCTAAAGACGAAACAAAACTGATTTCAATTCTAATTAAAAGCGCAAACGATTCGAAAAACTGCGGGCACACAGAAATATTGTCGTATCATATATCACTTGTAGGACGCCGATCTGACCCGTTATAAAGTTTTGTAAAGTTCGGCCCGGAGATAGACACCTGCCTAAACCAGGAAAAAGCTCTAGAGTGAGATTATTTTATTAATGGGGCTCTGGATATTTTACATCTGCCATTTTAAACAAGGTGTTTGAGTCAGGGTTGGGTTTGGGTGATTGTAACCGTAATGGTAAGGGTTGGGGATAGAATAAGGGTAACGGAGAAGAGCTCATCTTAAGTCACTTTTAACGCTAAGTATTGGCGGGCAGGCGGGGTGAAACATCATGAGATGTAATGCCGGAAGATCAAAATATTTCGTACAACATCCATTAAAATCCAGCCCAACTTAGGAAGATGCTTCACTGTAAATGTACTGTACACTAATGACACAATAAAGAGATGTAAGGATAATTAGAAATAGAGGAACAAATGACCGGGAGTTAGAGACCGCATTTAAGTTAAAGGGAGCATTTGTGGCGTCCCGTGAAAAGGATCGAAATATATATTGAGTTACGGTGAAATATATTAAGTTACTGGCATGTGGGAGACGATGAAATTAAATACGAGTTTTGGAACTGAACACAGGGTAGATTATTGCGATTATTAGTGTTAGATTTTTTGACGTATTTATCCTCGGCAGTAACTACTTTTACTGTTTCCATTTTTCGTCTGATCGAGCTTTATAATTATCACATAACGGTAAGAATATATTTGAGCGTTATACAGCAATAATGTTACGGCGCTGTGATTATCATCAGTTCAGAGTGGGAACGTTAAACTAAATTGTACAGTTAATAATTCATCACGACCACAATTGCAGTGCAGCACTTATGACTTCACTTATTAGTACACAAATCAAAGATCAAACTACGCAGAGAAGAAGACACTACACACGGAACAGAGATACACGATCAAATCAGAGGAAGCTAATGCCAGTGTAGAGTACCTTTACGGCGTCAAAGAGTCGCTTTAACGTCCTTACAAAGATAATGCTTGCTATTGTTGCTCCTTCTGTGGCGCTATGTGTGCAGTATAAAGAATGAATCATGATTTAGATAGTAAAGGAACCACACGATTCAGGGTCACAAATGTCGGTACGGTTGAATAATTAGATAAATTTCCCTCTACAAGGACAGGTAAACCTGTTGAAAAGTGACAGATTAGTACAACAAGATGAACAACACACAAACTCTCTCTCTCTGCCTGGGGTAATTTGGGAGAGAAGAATGCACTAATCTCCATCTAATTACCAGGTGAAACGAGAAATTAAGTTCACATTTGGAGCTTGAAAGTCCCGACACCGAACACATTACTCAACAGCAAAGTGAACAGAGAACATTGAAACAGTTACATCACGATCGGAGTGTGTGATCATGAGAGTGTAACGACAAATTAGGGCCAATGTTAAGAGTCTGACAGAGTCAGAGTGTAACGATTAATTAGGGCGGGCCAGTGTTACGAGAGTAAGAAAGGGTCTGAGTACTGCCCCGCGGTGGTCCTCAACAAAAGGTTACAGCTGGCCCCACATCACAACATCCAATAACAATATATAGTAATATTAATAACAGAATAACAATGCAGTTGTAACAGAATCGTAACGGGTACCTACATTCAATAGCAGCTACTGGTATCAGCCTCACTACAACAGAAACTTATTAAATGGGTACCGGTACACTCAATACACACGTTCAGCACCCAACTAGATCGATAATGAGAGAGAGTGGAATGGATCGGGCGCCGGCCGGCGAATGAGCTACTATATAATCGTATCAGATGTATGGGGTCTACAGTTGGACTGTAGGGATAATGTAAAGCTAATAACAGGTATTCAGTGATGTAAGGGGTCACACCGGAAAAAATAGAGGCAAAAGCATCTCCAAATGACGTGATGTATTTACACACACGGGCAGGAATGTAAGCAGGAATGTAAACAGTACAGCGAATATTAAAGAAGAATGTAACTAAGATGTCTATATGAGCTCTAGTTGAACCAGGTGTTTAGTGTGAACTCTGTGTACATCTACAAAGTGCTATTAGACCGCGCTGAAGGGGGGGGGGGGGGGGGGGGGGGCCTTCAGATGAACGGGGGACATGATTAGAGTATAATTGGGGGGGGGGGGGGGGGGCCAACCATATTAAAGTATATTAAAATGTAGGATTTTTCCCGATTTCGACCCGGGGATATACTTTAATATACTTTAATATACCTACAATATACTTTAATATATCCTTATCCTTGGAGGCCTACATCGAAAATTGTTACCCAAAATAAGCTTGAAATGCAATTCTTAATCGATTCCAAAAAGTTCTTGAAAAAATATTGAAAACTGATGGAGTTATTTCAATTTTAATGAAGTCATTTTGGCTAGTATTCCGAACAGAGATATTATGTGCAATTTTCCCAATTTTGTTCATGGAAGTCTTTTTACTTAGTATCCACTATATTCAACAAACACTGAGTTATATCTTTCACATAGAGTTAGTCTCATTAAAAAATATTGAAATTTTATCGAATTTGGGCAAAAGCGAATTTGGGCAAAAGCGTATGCCCAAATATGGGCATATTTTTTAAAGCTCATAGCTCAGCCAATTTTTGACCAATCTGGATGGAAATTCATGTACTAGTCCTAAAACAGGCTTATCTTGCGAATCTGAGTGAAAAATATAGTTCATCATGTAAATCTTAACGAAGAATATAAATCTTCTAATTGTAGGTATATTAAAGTATATTAAAATGTAGGATTTTTTCCGATTTTGACCCGGGGATATACTTTAATATACTTTAATATGGTTGGCCCCCCCCCATAATTAGTATAATTAGTACATTAACGTGTAATTAGAACACAAGATATAGTATCAGTTATCAGAATCTGTGTAATCACTAGGAATCGATTTCTATAATTAGTATAGATATTAGATAGTTTAGGTATGTGATCAAGATAATGTTTCAGAATCCAGAGACCTACTTATTGTGTTGAAATATAAGTAAATAACGTAATTCTACTACTCGCTTCAATAATACAAAATTCCTCAAAGGAGAGAAATTCAAGCCATTTAAGCGTGAATATCTATTTGGGAAATATTTATCTGGTACAAAATTTGCCAATTCCAAATTTTCGTATCACCATCACAATCAGAGGCATGTCTCACACAAATATGTCCCCTAGTGGATGGTAATTAAATTACTAAAAAGAGAAGAAGACATGTAATATTTCTACTGATGAATAAAAAATGTTTCGTATAAATACGGTATTTATTTTCCAGATTTAGGTAGGGATAGAGTTGAGACAAAAGAATCATAATAATATGATCGTTTCCGTAAGCGTACAACTACAAGGAATGTTTAAAATCTTTTAACAAGTATTTTATTCAGGTATATCATCAGGGATAAACTATTTTCACTTATCATCCGCACCTTAACAAATATTAGAATAGTTCCATTTCAATAGGTTGATAAGATTAAAAGAAATATGAAATATAAAAATAACAAAAAAAACTGCCCATAAACAAGTAAATATCGATCTCAGGTTTTAGGATACCGGGCCATCCTGGTTACCCTGCTATGGGCCGTTCCCCTGGCTTATGCAGGTCTAGTTTACCCATATATATATCGATCTCACAAGAGAAACAAACACTATGGCAGACAAATACGGATAATTTCGAGGATAATACGACTACAAAATATGTCAGTGGAAATTGGAAAAGTGATACTCTTGACGAGAATATTTTAGTTTTAAACAAACTAAGGGAAATATTCTTCGTGACATAATATTCCCATGTAGTTACCTTGATTTTCATTATTACAGTGCTGTTGCCATATTACTAAGAATTACGTTGCATATACATCACACAATTCGTAAACAAAGTTTTCAAGATATGTACATATCTCAATTATGCGACTTTTACAACAAAATAAATCCCGAGAAAGACCAATGTTACCTGAGATATCTCAGCTCTTCTCAACGTTTACAAATTCAAATATCCAAAATATTTAAATATACCATCTCCATGGAGCACGAACCTGCCAGTGAAAGCGATGTCGACTCCCTGTACACTCCAATGACCACGGTCAGGTAGAGAGCTGTTAGCAGAGAGCAGCACTACAATCAACAGATACACGTGCAGAAGCATCGAGTTAACCAACTCCGATAACTCTTTCCTCCGCATGCATTCTTCACGCGCCGCCATTGTAGTCGCTTTGTGCGCTGGCGGCTTCGTCGAATGGAACCTTAATACGGAGAAATATTACCATGAAGCTCACCTATAGAGTCATCGCAGCCACTGTTTTTTTACAGTGATGTGACCAAGGTAATAAAAAGTAGTGTAATTCAAAATTTAAATAATGTGACAATTATATCATATTATTTGCTGCCTGACAATAGGACTGTGGGCTTACCTGAAGGCCTTCAATCTGGCGAGTCCTTCATAGGCCTTAGTGGTGAAGTTACGGGGCAGCATGAAGTTAAGAGTCATCGTATCTGCTTTAGACAGGGGCCTGCTTTTCTTCTTCTTACCAAACGAAAATGAAGCATAGATGCCACAACCAAGAACCTAGAATTTATTAAATCATAAAATATGTTTTATTCATGTTTGAAATTTGTTACCTTATTTTAAACGTAAAAACCCATTCAAATTGCAATTATAATTAAGAACCGTTATGAGTGTGATTAGAAGCTAACTCACGATAAGAGGCTGAGAAATGAAGACAGACTCAAGCATGGACACGACAAACGAAGCCAGCCACTGTAACGACTTATTGTTCCCAAACTTCATGCCATAGAAAGTGGATATGACAACAGAGCAGGTGATGGCAACTAAGCAAAGGAGCCACCCTAGTAAGGCACACCACCAAGGGAGGGATACTCCACCGTCACACCAGATCTGGGAGGCAGGGTTCTCCAGAATGCGGCCGTTACGTGGGGTGGATAGTTCCTCTAATACTGGAGTTAGACCTGCTCTTCTGTTGTAATCTGGGGGGTGTTTTACTGGTTATGTTAATTGAGAGGGACTGGGGGAGGTGAGAGACCTAAATAAGGCCGCACTCCACCAACTTGTACAATTTTTAATCTATTGTTCTGAATAATGAGCGAGAGTTAATGTGAGTTAATGTGAGTTGTGAAATAAACTTTACCTCCAGCAAGCTCGGCGTCCGTGATGGAGGATTGAGACAGGACTTTAGTAGAGTCGGGGTAAACCAGTAAGGGTATCCTGGTCTGACTTCTTCTGAACAAGATGACCACGCCCAGTATAAAGGGGAGCAGGATAGCTCCCGTCATGATACCTTGTGTTACCGACGTCCATCCCAATGTTGAATATTGTGAAGTGGAACGTCTGAAATGATAAGTGATAAGTCAATATAATAAGCAAACCTTTATCAAAGAAAATTTCAACGGTGTACTATGCCTCAGAGAATGAATTTAAAATAGTTATAAAACTGTACCGTGTCTAAAGCGGGTTTCCAAAACGCTACGTTTATGGCCATAGCAATGAAGATGAGAGTAAAGCACACGGTCAGTCGCTGAGGTTTGCTAAAGTTAGCGTAAGTGTGATCCTTGAAGATACTGGCCCACAAGTGATGTTCGGAAAATGAGGCGTTGCTTATAAAGGCGTCCCATCTGCAAATTAATTGAAATTGTTAACTAAAGTAGATAACCCAGATTAATTATAAAAAACCAATCTGTGAGAAAAAAGAATCATTCAAAATTTAACTATTTCATTTGTTAGACCATCGTTACTTTAGCAGCTTTTCTCAACAATCAAAAAAATCTTCCTTATTGCCCTTATTAGGGATATTTAAAGGTAGTAAGTACCTTGTCTTATACGGTGATTTAGAGCAAGGAATCATCTTTTCAATATCTCCATTGCCCTCTTCGACTGCTAGCCATTCATGGCATGGGAAATATCTGAGGAAAAAAGCATCGATTATATGAGAAAATTTATAAGCCTATTTGAGAAACTTGACCTAATAATACTATATATTTTCTAAGTATAGAGCACTAATAACGATATTATAAGAACTCAACAAACCTGGTTCTATTTGTGTTAAGATCGGTCACAGTGACATTCTCCAAAAACCAGCTGGGATCCCTCCCCGAGTTATCGTGCCAGATGTGAATGTGGTGAAGTTTACCAAGACTGGTCGGGTACTTCAGGACAAACGATTCCGTGGATTTAGAAGCGAAGAGGGGACGTTGCGCTGAGAGTAGTCTAGCAGGACTGTCCCTCTGTTTTCCGTACAGTTTGATGTTTACTTTAGCTGTTGTGCCCGCGTTCGGTTGGGAACCCGTTACTACACGGATCAGGTAACCTTGTTTGTCCCTGATAATGTAAATTACTTTAAAGTAGTAAAATTCAGCGCCCGGCAAACAGCTGATAATAAAAAAGAAGACATTATCGTAAAGCTTGATCGGAATGTAACATTTACCTGACATAGTTATCCTCAAGATAGATAACACTGGAGCTTGAACCCCGGACAATGTCCAACTTGACCAGTATTGTCAGAGTAACCAGGTAGATGAAGAGGAGAGTACAAGAAAGGGTCAGAATCACGTGTCCGTCATCTAACCTGGAGTTTAAAAAAGATTAATCCAGGCCGTTTTTAACTATCTTAAAATTCCACGATTGAATGAGGGCTAGCTAAAGTGATTAACCACTGAGATAGTCCGAGAGAATTGAATTTTTATTTTCACTACTGTTCATAATGCCGTACCTTTTAGTGGTCAGAATAGTCGCGATATCAAGTTTGTTGGGAGTGACGAAGTGTCGGGAGGCGAATAGAGTCAGATGAGAGCACCGACAAACGGCCTCTGTAGGACTGCTGTCCTCACTACTTGTACAACCCTCCTCACTCCAGCTATCCTGTGTCCTGTGAGCAGAAGTGCAATGGTTAGGGGCAGCCTTCAGACACAAGTTCCATGTGTCTGACGGGTAAATACAATTTGACTGGCAAATCGATGTGCGTGCGCGCGGACACGCGCGTTTCGTAAACGCTGACATATTACCAAAATGAATCCGCGCCTCGCAAAAGTTTTATATCACGTGGCGTTTATTCTGGACCGATCGTCCCAAATAAAAGATGACATTTACAAAGGATTCCAGACATATTCTAAGAACCTTTGGCTAGGTTGAAATAAACAAACACCGGTCAAATCAATATCTAAATTAAATGCTCCACTTACTTTCAAGGTCTGCCCGGTGAACTGCAACTATAGCTAACTTAAGTCAATATTTGAATCCTAGTTTTTATCATCTCACCTGTACAAGCATTGACTGTACCAGTACTGGACATTGTACTTTCTCTCATCAGGGGGTTTCTGTTTACCGTAAGGGAGAGTGGGATTCTCGTAGTTCGTTACACTCAACACGAGCTCACTAGCGTCTGAAAGTGCACAGTGTGTACTTCTACTTGCTTGTTAGACAGATTCGGATGCTTGTTAGATGTGCGTGTCGTAAGCAAAACACGCTGGTTTGATCGTGTATTCTGCATTCTTAAATCACTCAATATCTGCTCATAACGTATGTATTATCAGAAATTCAATGTATTAAGCTATTTTTAAGGTACTATAGATTCTGGGAACCAATACTTACTGAAGTGAACAAGTTGTTCTGCTGTGAAATGGATGGAAAGACTCGAAGACTTTTCAACTAGCCCTGATTTGATATAATCGTCAGAATTTGGAACGTTGTCAACTCCGACAAGAACACTTAGCGGCACGTTTGTCATCGTATTCATACATGTGATCTGAAAATATCATGAGTTAAATCATCGCTAGGTTTTTAGAAAAAATGAAATAAAAAACTAGATATTTAAACCGTTTCGTAATGCTGCAAGGGGACAAGTCTAAAATCAAATGCTTACTCCATAAAACAATGACGATAATAATATCTACCTGAACGGTTAAAGCACCATAATTATCAAGTTCAATCCTGTGAATGTGAGCCCGTTTCTCAACTTTGTACTGGTTAGTAGTCGATATGTCTTCCCTCTTGTGGCTTAAAACACTGAACACTGACTCTGTGTTACCCTGAAAATACTGTATAACCCAGAGGAACATTTTACCAATGTTTTGTATTGGGATACAACTAGAAAATATCAATGATCTAAGAATGAAAAAACCATGCTAAACTTGTATAGTTAATGAGCATCTCAACTAAAAGGTATTAACGCAATCTGTACCTTGGTATCGTTAACAGGAAGGGTGATGGTTATATCCTCCTTTGTGTCCATAATTGGGACTTCTGATCCATTACAATATCTGTGTTCTACGTTAAAATCTTTATCAAAACTCAAAAGGCATTCATTTTTAGAGTGTTTAAACATTAACGGCCAAAATCATGAATTAAAAAGAACATACATCATCTGAAAGTTTCACTACAAATACATATCCCCAAACGAAAAGTAACACCACCAGGTACCTCAGAGACAAGGAGCTGACGTGACTTGAGACAGGGTCCAGAGCACCGTACGGGTTCTCATCATATAGCACCATGTGACCCTGTACACATTCCTCACGCTGGAAATCCACACTGTGTGGTAGCTGGAACTTGTATCCTGACGTTTCAAATGTTTCTCTTCTAACGTGTCAGGTTCTAGCTTTCTACCAAGGACCCCTGGAGGACATGTCTCATTAAGATCAGAAGGGAGGGGTCATGGTAATATCTTTTGTGGAGAGTATCCCGTAAGAAAGGATTGTTCACAAAAAGTGTAGGTAGCTAATATTATGTAACCAACAATTTGAAGCTATAATAAAGTTGTACCCAGTAACACAAGGTAACAAACCTACGAACTGTTGTTTTTGTACCAAGTCCGCTTCCCCAGATACCCGCTCATTAAGTTGGATAGTGAGCACGAGGGCAGTGACGTCATCACACAAGGTGTAGGCCTGGTTTAACAGGGACAGATATAGTTCCGTCTCTCCTGATGAGAACCTGATAACATTTCATCAGATTATTGGGGGGAAATAATAGCAGATGGGCTGCAGAGTATTGAGAAAATAAGGGAACCATGATTTATATTTCGGCGTTTGGTAACGCCCATTTATTAAAACCCCGATTCAAACCCTAACTTTAAATTTTTGGAATCTTACTTATACAGAGAATATAATTCAGAGAATTCCCTTTGTATCTTTGTACGACCGCCCACGTGCAAATAGAAGAGAAATAGGTAGTTACATAATAACCATGGTAACGAGGGTTATTACGTGTAAGTGTAACAATCCTCGTTACTATGGTTACTTTGCAACTTCTTATTTTTCACCTAATTTTCACGTGGGCGGTCGTACAGTGTACAGAAAGAAGTCTCTGAATTATAAAGTTACTAGAAACCCGCTAGTCGAAAGCTTTGTTCGGGGAAATTTTAAAAATCAGTTATGTTTTAATTTCTCTTCATCATATAGCTCTGTTATACTGTAGACATAATGGAATTTATCTAACAATGGCGACAGCGTTGTTAGTATTCGGATTCCCAAAACGATACTTTTTACCGCATCAAAAAATACCAATCACAACCAAAGTTATGAATATAAGTCATAGCGTGAGCGTAAATGTGAGCTAGTTTTGAAATTATGACGTAGCATACAGCATAACAACGCGCGTAGTTAAGATGTTTTTGCTTGCGCACGTGCATTTTAACGTTGCTACGCAACAGCGCAGTAAACCTTTGCTAAAATAACGACATTATTCTAACGGTTATTTTACCTCACTTCCGACGTTAATTATAAAAAATCTAAAGCCTAAATCAAAATTCTAAGAATGCTATAGCCTATCCCTATCCTTTTTCTACAACCCTGCTAAAAATGGCGAGGTTTCAACTCCATTTGCAAGCTGGGTTTGATTTCACCAGAGGGTCATTTTGAGGTCGATTTTCGGTGTTTTTTCTTCTATGTCCCCGTTGCCGGGGAAATTTCGTCAAGTTTAAATTATAGTATAGATAAGTAAGACTAGAAAACCCGTGGTCACAGGGAGGAAGTAAGAATAAGAGAATTATTCCCGCTTGAGAGGAGTAAAAACTAACAGTTTCTGGGTAAGCGAGAGAAGTTTGTTGAGAATATCCAGGATAACTTCAAGTGAGTTGTCGGGCAGTGAGTACTCTCCCGCTAAAACTTCTCTAAGAAATGTCAACAACATCTCTAGAAACTCAATAAACAGCTGCAATCCTTCCTGAAATTATCAAATCGTAAGTAAACCAGGCAAACCTTCGGTGATTAATTTATTCCACAGAAATTAGCAACCCTTCTAAAAGGAATATAGTTTTATTCAAAAATGTCGAGCTGAGTCGAGTCGTCCTCCCTGTTACAAAGTTACATGCCAATCTCGTTAAAAAGTATCTAATTAACAAAAGTAGTACAGTCAAATCCGTCTTTTTGTCGGACAAAATTCGCAACAAAGCGATTTTAACGGGATATGGTCGGGACAGGTCCCAGGAATCATTCCAGAGAGTTCCCAAAATCCTCGACTTCAGGAAAATCCACAGTTACCACTTTTTTACCACCTTTTTACCACTTTGGTTTTCCGCAAATAAGTCACGTTCTGAATATCCTAGAAGATTCTAGTTTAAAGCATTGTGTTTAGAAAACAAAGAAGAACAATTTTTTCTTTAACAACTTTTTCAAAAATAAATTATTTAATTAATTAATTAAATAATTAATAAATTTTCAAATATTTCAAAAATACATTTTCATAAAGAATGTTCACAATTACATTCCACGTATATTGAACTAATTTTTATGAAAATTTTGAAAATTTTCACTTACAATATTTTGGACTTGTAAAATTTTCGAAATTTGTAAAGAAAAACCACTATTTACCACTTTTTACCACATCGAATCTCCGCTAATAAAACGACTTCTGAATGTCGTAGAATGTTCTAGATTGAACCAATGTGTTCAAAATATAAAAGAGAACAACTTTTTATCCGACAACCTTTGGATTAGATAATTAATTAATTGGTTAATTCGAATATTAAACAAATATTCAAAAATTATAAAAATTATTTTTGATCAAAATGTTAAAAAATACATATCACGAATAATTAACAAATTTTCATTAAATTAATCGGGAAATCGAAGTAGTACTTTATATAACCATATATACTAGATAAGAGTCTAACTTATGAGTCCTCAGCTGGCACATTGGTGCAATTGTCCTGACATTTGAGGCAGGTTGATCCACAATGTATTCCTGCTTTTCTGCATGAACAAGCATTGCCACAACCTGACTTTAAACAGTTGCAACTGATTTTTTGAATGAGCTTTTTCGGAGCTGTACTCATAAGAGTGGTCACTGGTACATGTGTCCCATTGTTCTGAACAATTTGTTCATCTTCCATCCCCAGCTTATCGGATCTAGGTCATTCTCATCCCACGCCTGCAGCTGATGGTAAACACGATAAGAATGTTGTTCAGCTGCCCCAGATGTTGGCGAGAGCTGTTCGCACTTGATGTCTGCTGTTAAAGATTGCGACTTCTGTTCAAGACCTGAAAGTCTAGCTTCATCTAGTGATCTCGATTTTGATGAAATCAGCTGCAGCATTAAAAGTTCTCCTACATGATTTATGGTAGCTGCCAGCTGGTGTAGAATTTGCCGAATAAAAAGCATCTATTACACTTTCATCGATGGATGCGATCGTTCTGAAGAGCCGATCCTTACCAACTCCGTGGATCCGACTGGTGGTGTCTGATCCAGTGAAAGTGTGGCACAGCAGCTTATCGTGTTTACGACTTACGTGCCTCCTACCAATCGCACTTCGAATTTTCTCAATGTCATAGATGTAGCTTTTTGTGGTGAGAAACAGTAGGTGGTCAAATGCAAAGTGTTTTGTCATGTGCAGTAAAATTACAAGCAAATCAGTATCATCACCAATTACAGAAACATCAACTTGATTAGACCACTCAACTGCCTCTCTGCAAATCAAAACGATGTGCGAAACGGATTGAAAATGACGAAGTTATCAAGCAATTTGTTCATCTCGTTAGCGAAATTGATTGGGTTATCAATGATTACCTAATCGCTTATCACGTGACAGTGTGCTACGATACCGTAATTGGGCTTTCTGCACGATTTCTGTGCCACGCTTTCACTGGATCAGACACCACCAGTCGGATCCACGGAGTTGGTAAGGATCGGCTATTCAGAACGATTCCGATAGTGGGAATCTAGTGCACTAAGCTACGGAGAAAGTCACGTGAAATTTTTGGGCGAGCGAATTAGTAACTTAGTAAGAGCCTAACGTATGTTTACTATACCAACTTACCCTGTCTGTAATCCGGTTTGAGGATTCATCATTTGGTGCGATCTCTACGTTACAGAATGGAAATTTGTTTAAACTGTGTTCGTGGACTAAAGATGGTCCTGCCTCATTTACAACGGAGTACGGACCCCTCTTCATTGGCCGATATAATAGTTAATAGCACTATGTGCTATTCAGTATGCACTGAAGGGGTACCCTAGGAAGTTTCTTGAACTTTTAACAGGTACCCCTCCTCATTTAACCCTCAATTAAGTTTCCTATCATTCGGTTGAGTCGGCCGTTGAGATCGCATAGATCCAATGGATCCTTAGCTACTCCCTAGACTAGGTGACACTGGGATTCGAACCCTGAACCTTCTGCGCAGAAGGCGGATGCTCTAACCGCTAGGCTAGATATGAATCTTTGGAACTGGTCTATGGTCACTGTCTGCAATAATGCACACAAGACGTCACTCTGAGCTGAATCAGTCATGCCGTTGTACTGCCGTTTAATTTCTTCTTGTCAAAATATTAACTATTTAGTGTGATTTAAGTCCTCGATTTTTAGCAGATTCAACTTTTTTACGAAGAGAAGTAAACATAAAGTAAAGCTGAAGCTTACGCTTCCAAACAAACCAGTTTAACAATTAAGTTAAGCACAACACTAAGTCGAGAGATATGATGTGTAAATAGTTATAAGCTATAATAGTATCGTACAAATTTGGATATTTTACCGTTTATTCCATTTATCTGGATTTTTAATCTGTTATCTTATCTATGTGACGGTGTATGTTCTGTTATTCAAGTAAATCCATTTTACGTTTTACGTCACGGCAAATATTTTTGATACAAATTGTATTTTGAAATTTTTAAAAATTTAATTATTATTTAATTAACTAATTAATTAATTATCTAATCCAAAGGTTGTCGGATAAAAAGTTGTTCTCTTTTATATTTTGAACACATTGGTTCAATCTAGAACATTCTACGACATTCAGAAGTCGTTTTATTAGCGGAGATTCGATGTGGTAAAAAGTGGTAAATAGTGGTTTTTCTTTACAAATTTCGAAAATTTTACAAGTCCAAAATATTGTAAGTGAAAATTTTCAAAATTTTCATAAAAATTAGTTCAGTATACGTGGAATGTAATTGTGAACATTCTTTATGAAAATGTATTTTTGAAATATTTGAAAATTTATTAATTATTTAATTAATTAATTAAATAATTTATTTTTTGAAAAAGTTGTTAAAGAAAAAATTGTTCTTCTTTGTTTTCTAAACACAATGCTTTAAACTAGAATCTTCTAGGATATTCAGAACGTGACTTATTTGCGGAAAACCAAAGTGGTAAAAAGGTGGTAAAAAAGTGGTAACTGTGGATTTTCCTGAAGTCGAGGATTTTGGGAACTCTCTGGAATGATTCCTAGGACCTGTCCCGACCATATCCCGTTAAAATCGCTTTGTTGCGAATTTTGTCCGACAAAGGCTTAAATTAGGACGGATTTGACTGTACGTCGGGATAGCCTACTGGTCGGAAGGTGAACCAATTCTGACACGTGACACTTGCCTGCAATGAACCAAATACATTTCACGAGGAATATGGTCGTATTTGATGAAGCAGTTAATCAATAATCTGACCTCGTTAGCGTTAGTGTTGAGGAAGTTAGCGACAGTGAAGCTGAGACTACTAAGATAAGTAGAGAGGTCTCCAGTGTTGTTTACTCCAGATAACACTTCCCTCAGCTCTGCCGCCCATTTGTTGGTTGCACTGTCCTCCTCACTGTGTAAAGTCATTTATTAATAGAAATTAAGTAATAACATTAACTAAATTGAACAGATTTCTATGGATTGTAATAAAATTAATTAATGGGATCATCTGCCTGAAATGTAACTTCAACAATGGTTTGTGTTCAGAAACTCAAGTGAAACTTCTTATCGTCCCCATTGGAATAAAAAATCGGCCGAGTCCTAATTGGGTTGGTGTTGAAATGATCCGAAACACCCGAAAATTAATAATGGCCCAAAATTTAATATACTCAACTGAAGACTGGTTTGTGATTTGATACAAAATTTAAAAATATTCGAGTTTGTTAACTTGAATTGAGGCAGTAGAACCTGTGAATTTGGCAGGATTGATCTATTATGGGTGATATATTATTTACTTATTTATCTTAATTCTTACACACACTACTTATTATATAATTAGTTAATGATCCAGGAAACGATTAACGGGCAGGCGGGCAGGTACCAGGGTGTTTATCGTTATAATTACTACTCCATAACAGGTCTTATACCCGTTTAACTAGTAATCAAGGTAGTATAAGTTAGTATACTCTTTAAACCTTTAACTAAGCGTAGTAATCATAGTTACTCTGCCGACGGCAGAGTCTGCCGTTTTCTGACAAAAGTGCACAAAGGTTCATTTTGTGCAAATTGACTTTAAAGATTTAAATTCTGTAATTGCTCTGGACTAGCTGCTGTCAAATTTAGACTGCACCGGGCACCCACTATGTTTCTAAGGTGCTTTGTCGACTTTTGAGACTTATGACAAAAGTTAGCCTAAAACTGCTGTGATGAAACACTGGTTGTAATATTGGGAAGGGCTAAAATAAAAATTTAAAAATTTAGTTTTCTGATAAAAGTGCTTAAGTGCACCAACATTTGTGGTAACTTTATCTGCGATCATTCAACAAGGAGCTTTTAGAGGATTTTTGCCACTTTTTACCACCTTTCTCGTTTGTCAAATATCTTTAGTGGTAAACATCGTATAAGGTTGCAGATTAATCGAGAGCGTTGATACTATCAACAGAAAAATGTTCTGCTTAGAAAATTTTCACGTTTCAATTAGTTAATTAAATATTTAGCTAATTTGCAAATTTAAAAAAAAATTATTTGCTCGAAATGGTCGGAATTTTGTTTAATGGAATGATTTCCTTAACATAACAGGGTCTTAAAGCACGTTGAAGCGCACCATTTACACCTAAAATTGGGGTCCAAGCCTCGTCTCTGTGGTGTTAGGGCAATTTTTATGACAAAAGCGAAAAATATGATATTTTTTTGTAACTTTGAGGTCCAAAACATCAACTTTCCAGTTGACTGAACACATTTTTGTTGAGGGCACCAAAAACTGCGCCAGAATTCTTAGAACAATTTAATGTTAAATATCAAAACAATCCGATGTTTCCTGACTGACTTTTTGTTCAAAATAAGCCTGATATGGACAATTTCAGCTCCTTTCAAGATGCGACAATTATTTTTTTCCAAAAAATGCACTTTAACCTGGCAATGCTCGATTAAAGAAATGGAGGTTCTCAAAAACAACTTGTTCGGTGTGGAGACGGTGCGCTAGATGGTCACTGAAGTTCCTATGACATGTATGAGGTCATTTGAGTTGGCCGACACAAACCCCTGTTTTGGTGTATTCCCCCTTAAAAAGTTCTCCATTGACAAGTCGGCAATTTTGACGGGGAAGGTTGCTTTCTGAAGTTTGTGACCATCACCAATCGATCCGTCGTGAAAATTTAGCTTCGTAAATATCGTTTATTTAGCTTCAGTCGACAGAATCAACATTTGATTAAAAGTATAATGGCTTTAAAGCACTTTTGTGACTGTAAGTGCAACAAATTGTTTTTTTTTTCAGGCCAAGAGACCCACGATCACTAAATTGCCGTCACTAGGCCAGTTTTTGACGTAAAAAACAATGCAACCATTTTAAGATAAACGGCATCCGTTTTCAAAAATGGTCTTTATTCTTTAAGCACTTTTCTCAGAAAATGACAATATTTTGCATTTTAGGGGGTTCCAAAAAGGAATTTCAAAAAGGGGGGTCGGCGAACGTATCCATTGACTCTCGTGGATAGTTCTAGACCCAAAAACAAAAGGTAGACCAAAAAAACCCGAAATTTCCAAAATGTTACTATAAGCACTTTTGTCAGAAAACGGCAGTACTAGTGTGCCCAATTTGTTAAACCAGCGATTTTGTGTTTCCGCACGACGAACGAGCTTTGGTAAGGCGCACAGTAAATCCATTTAGGTTCCTAGTTTAACTATGATATTGTGAGCAAAACCCTCTATATTTTGTAGATATCAATTTAATTACGTTCGCTAAATAATCACAGCTCAATTTAAGAATGCCCTCAACTTTGTAAGTTCACTTTTGTCAACGGATGACGACAAAGGTGGACTTAATGTACAACTATATTTACCGAACCCTCGCAGCACCAATTTGTCTGAAGAAGAACGCCGTTAGTCGTTACTAGTTGACCCCTTTACCAAACTAAGGGACCCTGTGTTGTTCTATTTTATGGAAGCTATTGGCTTTATTGTTTTGCACCTTTACCTTCTCATTAACCGGTGTTAATATTTTATGGTTTGAACACATTGACTGGTAACGGGTTCCGAATTTGATTTCGAATTTGATTTTAGTACCGCTGATCTGACATTATCAACATTGCAATATAGTGTAATCTATTTTTGTAAAACCTCATTGGTTCGTGTCCAGACTTATAGCTAAGTGATGCACTTCAACACAGCAAGAGTCTAGTAACTTAAATAGTAGCAGTACATACTGTTAGATTAATACTGTAAAATCGTTAATTCGTTTCTTTGTTTCACAAACTAAGTTTACCACAACATCGGTTAAGGTAACCCACAACCAACACCTCCGCTTGTAAAGACGGATTAACCTATTCTAGACGGTACGTGGCGCACGAACCGTGCATCCGTGAACTTGTTATACCGTGATTGATAGGTATATCACAGTCCATTATTTCAGTACGTATTATACCATTTTTGCTCGAGTCCAATTAGAATATGCCACATTGCCACGAGTATGATCAGAAAACATCAGTTATTTCTCACGAAAGACAATTTGAAGTTTGAACAATTTGTACTCACTCAATTTCTTGTATGATCTTTGTTAGGTTCCATTATGTTTGTCTCGTACATAATTGTTTCTCATTTTTCTCATAAAATTTAAATTTATTGTAGGTGGATATATCATCCCAAAGAACAGATTACAGAAGTGCCGAACATTGGTAAATATAGTATAATATACTTTGAACTTTAAATATGGCAAATACAAGCTACCACGTGCTGTACATGACGGATATGGAGGGCCACACCTTTAACGGAACTGCAGATAAGATGATCGGAGCTGCGCTGGTTCTGTGTATCAGTGTGGGAGTCCCTGGAAACATAATCTCCCTCCTCTTTTTCTGGAGTAAGCGGAAAGACTCCCTCCCCAATGTTCTATTGACAGTTCTCAGTGCTGCAGACGCCTGCACGTGCGCACTGACCCTTCCCATAATCTGCTCTCTGGTGACTGGTAGACGGCCCCTGGCATTCTTTCTAAACTACACTATATGCGGTATGTGGTATGTTCCCTTCTACTTCACATTGCGCTTCTCCCAGTTCATGGTCCTGGTTGTAAGTGTCACCAGGACTCTGGCCATCCTGGCTCCCTTTTACCAGGTCAACAATGGTGGGATTTGTGTGGCGTGTGCCATGTATGCTGGATACATTCTCACTGTGCAGAATGTTCTCTTGGGTTCTGGAGTGACCAAGTTTATGTACTTCTCTTGGATTGCATCTTGTACGGAGACTAACGCCGTCAATCCGCCTGATTGGAAATACACGGCCCTTGTTATGAACAACGTTGTAAATCTTACTCTTATCTCTGTTATCGTGTTTGTGAGTTTTGTTTTGAGTGTCATGGCCTTGGCAAAAGAATCTTCTAATCATGCTAATGCAGGCGATATATTTAGACGTGCTTCTATCACAATAACTATCATTACAGCTGTCTTTCTCGTCTGCAATCTCCCCATGTTTCTGGCGGAGCTTTTGAACAATATGTTTTTCTGGAAAATATTGTCTGGAGGAGGCGCCACTAAGAGTCCCTTCTTCGTCTGGTATTTCATGTTAATGGGCTACAGAGTGTTTACCCCAATCAACGCCGCTCTCAATCCGTGTGTCTACCTTTGGAGAATGGAGGCATTTCGGATGTGGATCTTGGATTGTGTCTCAAAAAGGTTAACGAGATTGAGAAAAACAGAGGCGACTGAAATCAGTCACCATGAAACACGAGTTTCCACATTGGAAACGTTACCTATACATGACTATCAAGAAAGATCTTAGGTGAAGTGGCCAATGCCACCATCATGTCGCCACCATGCATCCACCGATTATGGCACTAACTGTATTCAGGGACAAAGGATCTAAACAACATAGCACCATCAATCTCAGCTGCTAAGGGTAACTGAGGAACGAATAAATGAGGTTTTAGGGCACGTGTCATCATACTGTCATGTATTTTAAAGAAAGAATTGTAATACTTTAGTACTTTACTGGAATATTTTTGCAATGATGCATGACGATACCAATGTCACCAATAAGCGGTACTATATATCATGTAGATGAACAGCCTTTATATTGAGAAGTAAAAACATCTCGAAGGGTGCTTATGGATTCTTAGCCTGGTGTTTATTATGTATCAATTTGTGGGTCTTGTCATATTATCCTATTTTAAATTTGTTGAATATCTACGAGTTAAAACTTCATTTATCCTATTCAAAAAATCTAAAATGACATTAAGAGCTCATGGTTCTTAAATTTTTCCATTCTCAATATATTATGTTGTATTATTGCGTTATCATATGACAATTGTTACAATTAATAATAATATCATGATTACAATTATATCTTAATCTTAAACCTTATGCTCTTATGATCAATTGAAGTTAACTCTTAATTTCTTTACAGTATTCGTATATTGTGAATATAATACGAGTAAGTAAGCTGTCTCTGCTGCGATTTTGGACAGTTCAGAAATTTATTTTTCGATTCAGTAAAAACTTTTATTTTGTATGTAGTTTGGACTAATGACTAACGTTTTTTATTCACAAATAAATACTCGGGTATTGAGTTGAGATGCAAAAATAGAATTACAGTTATTCACATCTAGGCCCTAAGATATAAAATGATCGAATAGTATACATAATATTATGTATTGCATAAGTGGCAACCAAAAATTGGAAAAACTAAAGCTTAAATCATATTGCATATTGTAAAAGCTGACCGCTGAAATATTTATAAATTTCTGACCCCAAAGTGTACAATGTTTTTAATCATCACATCAAAACAGTGTCTTTGATCATTTTCTCGAGAACAGCTGTGCTTGCCTCAAGTTCAGGGATAGACTTTAGGCACCTGTTTGTGTCCAGAACCAGGCGTTGGAGAAGCAGATCTTTCTCGAAGAGTTCCTTCCTGGAAGATTCCCTGATATTGATACAGTTAGCGTTCAGTTTCAGGAGCTGTTCTCTTGCAGCCTGAACTTTCTTTTCCCAGGTCTTCTTCTGGAAATTTACTTTCGAAAGAATGTTGTCTAATTTGTTCATCTCAGTTTCATAGATCTTCTTGACCTCCTCCCTCTCGTTTTTGTTGTGCTCAACCTCCTTTTCAAGTTCTTCGATCTGAAGTTTATGTACTTCAACTGGGTCACATTTCTTCTCAACATTCACTTTCTTGGTGCAAAGTTTAGCTTCCTGGAACTGCAGCTTCTGCTTGGCACGTCTCTGGTTGTCGTAATCTCCCTCCTGTTTCTTCTTCTTCTCCTCATGATCAAGTTTAAGACTTGCCACGTTGCTTTCTACGTTTTTGTTCTTTTCTGTAAGAGCTGCGCTTTCCTCCTTCAAGGACTCCAGATCCAGTTGTAGCTTCTCGATCTCAGCTGCAGCTACTCGTTTGTCCTCGATAGTCTTGGTTCTAGTATCCTCGGTCTCTCGGTCGATAGCTCTCTTCTGAAGTCTGAGTTCTTCGTGCGTTGCTTTCAGTTGGTCCAGTTCAGAAGACATGTTGGTGTTTTTAGAGTGATTTCTAAAGAGTTAAGGGGTTAGTTATGGTAGTATGTAATCAACTCGAAGTTTAGCAAAAGGAAAATAAATTTGTGTTAACTTGACAATTCAATAATAAACGTTTAAAAGTTTCGAAAAAAAGCACAAACAAGAAAACTGAGTTGTCTTGTTGTAAAAGACTGAATCGGATATGATATTGTCTATCTCCCACCAAAGTATTTATACTTACGATAATTAATCGATCAATTAAAGTAAGTTGTCATTTCTTCGATTAAAACTTCTCGTCTTTCATCTGCAATAATTCTGTTAATTAAAATATAAACATCATATTTCAATCCCATTGATTAATATCAATGAGCTTTATTTGAATCGGAGCCTTTACCTTATCAATTAGTTAGTTTAATTTATTTTCTATTAAAACTGCGATAGACGGAAATGAAAGTATTCACTTAAATGAAACAATAATGATTAAAATAACTAATTGATAAGGTAAAGGCTCCGATTCAAATAAAGCTCATTGATATTAATCAATGGGATTGAAATATGATGTTTATATTTTAATTAACAGAATTATTGCAGATGAAAGACGAGAAGTTTTAATCGAAGAAATGACAACTTACTTTAATTGATCGATTAATTATCGTAAGTATAAATACTTTGGTGGGAGATAGACAATATCATATCCGATTCAGTCTTTTACAACAAGACAACTCAGTTTTCTTGTTTGTGCTTTTTTTCGAAACTTTTAAACGTTTATTATTGAATTGTCAAGTTAACACAAATTTATTTTCCTTTTGCTAAACTTCGAGTTGATTACATACTACCATAACTAACCCCTTAACTCTTTAGAAATCACTCTAAAAACACCAACATGTCTTCTGAACTGGACCAACTGAAAGCAGCGCACGAAGAACTCAGACTTCAGAAGAGAGCTATCGACCGAGAGACCGAGGATACTAGAACCAAGACTATCGAGGACAAACGAGTAGCTGCAGCTGAGATCGAGAAGCTACAACTGGATCTGGAGTCTTTGAAGGAGGAAAGCGCAGCTCTTACAGAAAAGAACAAAAACTTAGAAAGCGACGTGGCAAGTCTTAAACTTGATCATGAGGAGAAGAAGAAGAAACAGGAGGAAGATTACGACAACCAGAGACGTGCCAAGCAGAAGCTGCAGTTCCAGGAAGCTAAACTTTGCACCAAGAAAGTGAATGTTGAGAAGAAATGTGACCCAGTTGAAGTACATAAACTTCAGATCGAAGAACTTGAAAAGGAGGTTGAGCACAACAAAAACGAGAGGGAGGAGGTCAAGAAGATCTATGAAACTGAGATGAACAAATTAGACAACATTCTTTCGAAAGTAAATTTCCAGAAGAAGACCTGGGAAAAGAAAGTTCAGGCTGCAAGAGAACAGCTCCTGAAACTGAACGCTAACTGTATCAATATCAGGGAATCTTCCAGGAAGGAACTCTTCGAGAAAGATCTGCTTCTCCAACGCCTGGTTCTGGACACAAACAGGTGCCTAAAGTCTATCCCTGAACTTGAGGCAAGCACAGCTGTTCTCGAGAAAATGATCAAAGACACTGTTTTGATGTGATGATTAAAAACATTGTACACTTTGGGGTCAGAAATTTATAAATATTTTCAGCGGTCAGCTTTTACAATATGCAATATGATTTAAGCTTTAGTTTTTCCAATTTTTGGTTGCCACTTATGCAATACATAATATTATGTATACTATTCGATCATTTTATATATTAGGGCCTATATGTGAATAACTGTAATTCTATTTTTGCATCTCAACTCAATACCCGAGTATTTATTTGTGAATAAAAAACGTTAATCATTAGTCCAAACTACACACAAAATAAAAGTTTTTACTGAATCGAAAAATAAATTTCTGAACTGTCCAAAATCGCAGCAGAGACAGCTTACTGAACTACTTTTATTCTTCTATCCATCTTTGCCGTCGATTCTCCACAAAATTTAAATTACAACAGCGGAATTTTGTTCTACACAACAATGTGTATATCTCACAACCCCCTTAAAATATAATTAAAACTTCACAAATAATATTTAAAATTAGTCGAACCTGATAAGACTGTTGACATCTGAGTTGATGAGTTGAAGAACTAACTGATATTCGTTACTGTTCAACAGTTCAGTTGTGTTCAACGCACTCTCAGTCCAACTGTAAATCATAATTGGTTAGATAAAAGGAGTGTTTTTTCAGGTTTGGTTAGGACGGTTATATTGAATACTCATAGTTAAATGGAGTTAAACAAATGGAGTTGATCGTAAAAAATTTAGGACTTTCTGCGTATATGTTAATAAAATTAAAGAATCTAAACAATAAATTGTAACTAAATACAAGAAGAGACAAACCTTGGCACAGCGACAAGAACAGGCGTCAGACTGGTCCTTGCCCCGGAGCTATCAAACACAACAACAGTGACCAGGTGAGGTCCCTCTGGGAGGAGGAACCGAGAGTGGGACTGAGGACCACTGTACACCACCACCGGGAACTGGGTGCTGTTGTAGGTCACGTGATAGTGGATTTGTCCACTTTGTGAGACCCAGTTTGAGCACGATACTTCCACTATACCGTCTGATAAAGGTGAGGTTGTTTAGGGGAATTGTTAACGGAACTTTATGTTTGTTTAACTCTTATTGATGATCTATATTATATCATTATGGTCTGAGATTCTAGTGTTAAAAGCTGAACCTTGTACAGTTGAATTAGACATACTGCATAGTAAGCAATCTATTATCCATCCAGTAACATCTCATCACTCATTTGAGTGAAGGTCGAATGCAAAGATAAGAAATAAAAAAACTGTGACTTTATTGAAAATGAAATGTAAATGTTTTTGAACCAATGATAAAAAATAGAACATTTTATCTTCATACTGATGTCACTAATCAACGCAAATGCTCGGCGAACAAAAGCCATATAGTGTATTCAGATCAAGTATATTATATAATACAACCCCCGGTTTAAGAAATAAATCATCTAACTTCCAAAGAAATAATCCCTCTATAAATAATCCAGTATTTCACTGTTACTCCTCACTGTATGGACCACTTCCAAACACCTGTATCTCAATAAAGTTCATGTACTGATCCAGAGCCTGTTTCATGTATATCTTCCTGGCGTAGACGTTATCAACTACTCGGAGATTGTAGAGTGACTGAGTATCGTGTAGCGAGCCGATAAGTTGTTCATCTGCGTAAATCAGCACACCAACAGCGAAGGATCGGTACGAGACTAGCCTATTCCACAGCTTGATAGTGTGGATCTTGAAGAAACCCCCTAAGTCAATTATCAACATGTTACCTTTCTGATTCATGTCTTGTCCTGACTTTTGCATTGGATTTGAGCCATCATATTCGCTTTCTAAAGTGTAAACACCATCCACAGCAAAATCTGGGTGGTATTTGTTGTCCCAAGTGGTGTTTTGCCATGTCAGCTTGTGTTGAGAGATCAGCCTTATTTCTGATCTCATGACATCAACCATCTCCTCAACTTTGCTAACTATGGTATTTACTTGAGCGCTAACTTGAGCGCTAACATCGGTGATTTTGGTAGTCAGATTCGACTTAACTCCAGCCAAACTGGAAATAATTCCCTCCTGCTCTGCACTAAGAACGTCTATCTTATTCTCCAACTTTTTGACTGAATCTGCAACATCTTTAACCTCTCTGACAAGATCCATAACCCGAAGAGCCATCAGCGCCGCTCCCTGTCTCTCACTTAACAAAGAATACATCTCCTCTCCTAGGTTCAGGGTCTCCTCGCGGAAGTAGTGTTTCAGTGTCGATATGTCGTCATCTCCTCGTTCAGCCGGAGCTGGGGGTGTGTCAGCTCTGCTTTTAGCGAAAAGATTCGAACTAGAAACTAGCACAACTACCAGAACCAGCAATTTACACATAGTTGTATAGATGTAGAGAATGCCCTATCGGTGGATTCGACAAAAAACTTTACAATGTCTCAAAAATCGCGGTGCGAATGAACAAAATAAAAGTACCCGTTTCCACGGCTGTCGGCTGATGAATGATTGTAATTAAAAGATAAAAAGTTCTTCGCGCTTCTAATTAGATTCTTTATTCCTGGACATCAGCCGTACAGCTAGGAGCACTCATTTCTTAGCTGGATTTATGAACACCTCACCAATAAGGATACGAATGAGTTGACACGTGATTAGATTGAGTTTCAAAAGTAAAACTAGGCATCTTAAGGCACCTGAAAGGAACTCCTTCGAACTTTTAAAGCACAAATCGAATTAATAACTTAAATCTCAACGTTCAAGTTGGTTAGAAACGCCCCTGTCTACGGATGAATTTGTCTACGATAACAATCATTAAGTACCTAATACCAGATTGACCTAAACCGATAAAATCCTAAAATTACCGTTGTTGAGCAGCACATCACACTGTCCACCACTAGGGCCACATTGGAACTGGAGTAACTGTCCCGCACATACCCCCTGCCACACACATCCCTCTACTTTGTACCTCCCTCCCGCTTTAAACACTCCACTCTTTACCACCAAGTTCTTCTTATTCAGACCTGTTGTCGTCATCTCCTCTGGAGGGAGAGAGGGGGGTTTAAGGAGGCTAGGTATTCGGAAGTAAAGCTACATTTTAGAATTTTTGTGATTTTTGGAATGGCACGGCAAACACATGATACGATAATCATGATGTTGATAATTATGACAAACTGTTACTGAAGAGGTACCTTTCAGAGAGAAAGTTGAGACGCTGCTCTGTTGGACGGTTGTATACCCGCACTCCTCGCTCGACAACTCCACCACACTCCAGTACACATCAGGATTAAAGCAAGGTACCCCTCTGTGAGAACACTGTAGGGAGGCCACTGTCCTCTTGTTTGGCGACAACTCGTGCAGGTCTGACACAGTGAGCTTCAGAAGTGGCACCACGTAGTTAGTCACGTTGAGAACCAGATTAGTGGAGCTGATGGGTTGGTCGTTCAGCTGGAGGTTGACGGAGATGTCAACGAATCCCGAGACGTTGAAACGGAAGGAGACGTCGGGTGAGTTGACGAGGTTCTGTTGGAGACAGGGGTCGTAATGGAGCTGTATTGGTCTGAAGCTACAGGACCAGGTGAAGTGGAAGTCGTCTAACGTTAAAGAGGTGTTCAAGATTAAACTGTGAGCAAAAGATATTCTGAGTGTTTCTTTTGTGTTAGTGGTAGTGAATGTTGGGTAATTTAAGATAGGTATGATAGGAACAGAAACCACGGTCATCAAAACTTCATCGGATCTGTATAAGTCTGGAGACTCCGCCACATAAACCACCATTCTCATAATGTAGCTTCCTGCGTCCAAGAAATTTGCACGGAAAGTCAGAGTTTTAGACCTAGACTCCGTAAAATCTCGGACACTCTCCCTCTCAAGCGTCAAAACAGACCACTTTATAGCGTGTTTACTCTCACAGTTGGTGGTGATGACCGCTTCAAAAGAGACAGAGTCAGTGGAAAGGACCCTGATGTTATCACCCCCGGTGATGTGCACAAGTGGAGGGTGGCAGCTGCTGTTGCTCGTCACCACTAGTGTCTCTGACACACTCTGCTCACTCACGTCGTTGTAGACGCTCAGACTCAGGGTGTAGGTGCCCGGGGTTTCTAGGATGATGCTGAAGTCTGAAGCGTCCTGTTGTTGCGTTACTCCGTCCAACTTCCACACGTAGTGGACATTTTCTTCTAGCTTGGAGGTTGATTTCTTGAATACTTCAGCGTTGAAAGAGGACAGTTGTGTCTCTAGAACCATTAAACTTCCTTTGATCATTACCCGTAAAATCTCATCTTGAACGTTGAGATTCTTTGTTAGACTGATAGTTGATAAAGAGTTGGAGACCCTGACGAATATCTCATAGTTACCGATATCAGGATACAAATGAGATACTTCAGATGTGCTGTAGACAACGCCATCACCCATGTTAACATTATATTCCACATTAAAATCGGCCTCAGGGGCTAGCACCAGTTCAAACTCTACCGGTGCACTCAACTTATGATAGGAACCAAGGTTCTTAGCAAATGTAACCGATGATAGTTTTGATTCCACCGAAACGACCTTGTAGACCATTAAACTGCTAAGATTGTTTTCCAACTTCAGGGATATATTGAACATACCCTCACGAGTCGGCTGAAACACTGCCCCGTCAAACGGAACACCATCAATGAACCAGGTGTGAACAACATTAGAACCAGCGACTAGCGAGTAATCGTGCTCCAGTTCCCGGTCTATCCTGGTTGTGTCCGGCAGGATGATAACGCAACCCTCTATCGGTATCTCAACTATAAACTCAGGAAGTGTGGATGTTGGGATGTCGATGTAGCTGATGCTGTTTGAAACACGAACTGATGGTTTAAATACACCAGTTGTTTTGTACCTGTACTTGCACGTGATGGTCTGTTCCCTGCGAACAAAATATATATCAACACAGATACTTGAGTTGGTATTAATCCAATCCAATGCAATCGATAAAATTTTGTAAAACTCATCGAAGTCCCGCAAAGTGGTAAACACAAAAATGTGTAGCAGAAGATGAAACAAAACAAATATACCTCTCAGCTACAGAGAGGTTGTAAGGTGAGTGTTCTGCCTCCTCAGTTACAATAGAGTTGGAATTCTCTTTCTCTCCAAAGTCACACCTCACAGTAGCGTTAGTGCCTCTTTCTATCAACACTGTAAGATACACTTCGTTGGTTCGCAGCGTACTCTTATCCATCTCCTGGGGTCCGGAGGAGGTCGTTAGATACATTAGATACATTAGATACATTAGATACATCAGATACAAATTAGATACATTAGATACATTAGATACATCGTACGTTTATTTTTTTAGAATGTTTGAGTTTCAATAGAATTACGACTCTAACCTGTTTGTGGTAGGAATGATCGAGAAGGCTGACTCCCTGAACCTCATTCTGGACGTATATAAAGGAGGGGAGGGACTTGTTGATACTGGAGATATCGTTAAACGCAGACATGGTCACAGGAAATACGCCAGCTTCGGTGAACTTATGTTGTAGTGTCCCTTGATTGTTACTGTTGAGAGGTGGAATTAGATCACAGTGGTCCAATTTACATGTTCAGAAATAAAAGTAGTTTTCAAGTTCTTTTTTCTCAGAAACTGAAATAATTAATCATCAAACTCGCTAACAACAGATAAAGAGTAAAGATACCAACTAACCTCATGGGTACATCGTAGGAGACGCTTCCAATCTTAGCAACAACTCCAAACTCACTCCCTTCCTTCACACTGACTCGCAGTTGAACAGCTTGTCCTGGAGCTATGACGTAGGAAGAGTTTGCGTAAGTGATTACTAGTCCTGAAACAGGCGTCAGCACGTGCAGGGAGTTGTGCGCGCAGCTAGAACTCACGTTGTTACGGATACAACATCTTATCTTCTGCTCCCCAACCTGTAGAACATATCCTCAGCAAGAATAAATCACACGTACTTACATAGGGTTTTTCAACTAAAAGGTTAACAAATTTAATATAACTTGAAGTATGTACTCGGAACGTTTTGACACTATAAAAGTATCAAGGCCTTTCAGACACAATCATATATGATAAAAAGAGAGTTTGCTTAACATTGTAAAGTCATACCTCGTTGAAGAGATAAGAAACTGAGGAGATCAATACAGGATTAGTATCAGATAGCATATGTTTGGTAACAAGAACATCAGACACGTTCCACGAAACCACTAAATCTGGTTGTGGAACAAACTCAGCCCCAGATGTAGCGACAAAAGATACAGAACTGCCAACAGCTACGGAGGTATTAGGTGAGATCCCAACGGAGGCAACAGAAAACACAACATCCACAACATCCTGCACGATGATCGTATGTGTCTCTTCGGACGAGCTGATATTGTTGTAAGTTGTAACCTCAACAAGTTGTTCCCCTGGTGAGTTGAAAGTGAGGGTGAACTCCACTGTCTCCCGCTGGCACTCCACAGTGTCCTCCTCAGCAGTGGTTTTAATGGTGACGTTCTGGTAGCTGGTTGTAGGACAGCTGATCACCAAGTTAACTGGCTGGCTGGTTGTAGCGTACTCGTCTGGTACGAATCTGACTGGCACGTTTCCCACCAAAGATTCTACATAAACTGTTTTCTCTGTATACTGCCAACTCAACATATTGTACACGTACTGGCCTATAGTTAAAGTTCCGATCGTTTTGAAATAAAATTTGTAGGAAGCCTGGTTGTTGGTAGAACTATCAACATTTTCATTTTCAGGGAACTCTAAACCCGATTGTGTGAGAATCATGTCCACTTTGGGATTGTTGTGGGTCCACAGGTAGTTGTCCGCTACCACATCAGACTCTAGCTCCAGAACCTGACCTCTTTCAATGAAGTCAGGAAGTGGAATGGTTGGTTTTTCCACTCTTTTAACAACGGTAATCTTGTTCTGGAACTCACTACACTGTTCTAGCTGAGTGTTGGAGACACAGACCGTTAGAGAGGTTGACTGGACAGGGTCCGGGTAGGTGTAGGTGTAGGATAAGGTGTAGGATGCGTCCTTGTTGTATAGGTCTTCTGAGAGGACTATGGGGGTGTCGTCTCCAGGATGCAGGGTTATCTTCAATCCTGTACCTGATCACAACATGTTTTATTTAATGCAAGTAGAAAAGTAGAAAAATAAATATACAAATAAAAGTCAGATTTTGGAAATGTTAAATAGATTCACGAAAACACGCCAATAACTGATATCCCACCTCTGGTAATATTGCAGCTGATCTGAATCCCTCCCCCCGTCAGCACAAACACCACCCCCTTGTCCTCCAACATCACCTCCGACACCACCTCTAGGTATGAAACCTGGAACTCTTGGTCAGTCACTTCCACCACCAACTCCACTGTCTGAGGCTGCAAGAGCAGGTTGTCGGCAGTCACGCTGATGGTGTGCGTAGTCAGGGTGGAGAAGGTCAGGGTGTTGGGGTCTGGATACCACGTGTACGTTACTTCTGTTCCTGGAGTAGAAATTTGGATAGTTGTCGATTTAATAGAGATCGGGTTAACTATTTAATCAACAATTATGAGACTTCAAATATGGACACCTTAACATATTCATACCATAATAATGTAATAAAATATGCATATTTATCAACAATCATGTCATCAGGATATACGAGTGCATTTTTACATCCTAGGTGGTGTCCACTGAAGTTTGAGCGAGGTGGTAATTGTAAACCAGATGTACTCCTGCTCACTGCATCGCCCTCTAATCGGCACCCAATCCCAACACAGTATTGCAGTCACGTGACAAATCGAACCAATCAAATGGGATAACGACTGCGAGTTAACATCACGTGTACTACTCAAAGTCAGCTTATCTAAACATTTCCTGCTGCGGTGTAGTATTACACTCAGTGACACATCGAGCATATCGTATGTTGGCTGGTGGAGTTGTATAATCTCATAATACAGCACATTTAACTTAATTTCGTTTGACTATATTGTGTTAATTTTATTTCGCGGACTAACACTCCCCGGTAATGTATTTTCATTTATTGTACCGTGACAGTGTTAACCTGCACCTTTATTCTTTATTCTTTATAATATATTAAGACGCAATGAAACACTATACGTGCTTTCAGCAGACGAGGATGAGGATTTCATGTTAATTTAAAGAGATTTTATGAAGGAGTAAATTCGTATTCCTAGCGTAAAATACTGATAGTTGGCATTCATTGATATTATTCGTTTTGTTATGCGTTTCAATAGCACCTTGTTGATATCATCGTTTTCCTTTTTTTATTTCGTCCTGACTGTTTATCACGTTATTTAACGAATTAAATATGTAGATTTCCTGATATATTTGTATTATAAATGATATTTAACGTATAGACTTACAGTAGGCTAAGGTAATACCTGTCGTGTAGACTGACCAGAGTCCATGGCTGCCAAAAAAGAACAAGTAAGTCAGAAACACTATTAGTAGGATTGATTATGAATTTCAACGGAATCATAATACCATGGGCTGAGTTGTTCATTGATAATAATATACTTTAAATGAAAATACTTGTACTAGAAATCTAATGATTGATAATGCTAACATTTTCAGCGACTACTTGTTTCGCCTATCAGCGGTCATGCTTTCAACGCTGACATGAGCAAAGTGATAATTTGTGACACGACCAACATCGCGACAATCTACCAACAAGATGCCAAGGGTATCTACACTAAGGAGACGGAGCTCACGAAGCACGCTGATCGAGTCAAGAGCGTGGACTGGGCTCCCAACTCCAACCGAATTGCTACATGTGCCGCGGACAGAAACGCTTACATCTGGAACCTGAACGCGGAAACTAAAGAGTGGGAACCTTCCCTAGTGTTGCTGAGGATTGAGAGAGCTGCCACCTACATTAGATGGTCCCCCAAGGAAGACAGGTTCGCTGTGGGAAGTGGAGCTAGACTTCTCAGCATCTGTTACTACGATGAGGAGCATGACTGGTGGGTTAGCAAGCACATCAAGAAACCCATTAGGTCCACAATCCTATGCTGTGACTGGCATCCCAACAACTACATAATCGCTATCGGATCCTGTGACTTCAAGTGTAGAGTCTTCTCATCTGCTTTGAAGGAGCTTGAAGACAAACCGGAAGTATCTGGATGGATGTCCAAGCTGAGCAAGTTCGGTACACTTCTAGCTGAGTTTGACACAAGTGAAGGATGGGTTCACGGGGTTAAGTTCTCTCCATCAGGTGACAAACTGGCTTGGGTCTCACACGATTCGTCAGTCAACGTGGTGGATATGAACAGCCAGGAGAAAGTGTTCCGGTGTCTAACCAAGTCTCTGCCCCTCACAACCGCCATCTGGCTGAACGAAACCTCCGTAGTTTGCGGAGGACACGACAACTACCCCCTGTTGTACAACATTGAGGGGGATAAGCTAGCCCATGGTGTTCGACTGGACATCAATGAGAAGAAAGCTGGTGCGGGCATGAGTGCCATGGCCAGGTTCAAGAAGCTAGATGACTTGGGCACAGATGACAAGGGAACCACAGTAACCACCACCCATCTTAATGCTATCTCTGAGCTGAGAGTGACAAAGTCTGACGAAGGAAAGGTTAAGCAATTCTCTTCTGCTGGGATGGATGGTAAGATTGTTTTCTGGGACGTCGGTGTTCTGGCCTCTACTATTACCGAGCTGAAGATCTAAAACTGAAACAATATCACAGGCAAAGCCAGTCATTTTTCTGGTAACGAGTATTAAAGCTACCTTAAAGTACAGTCATATTTATAAGTGTGCAGTGAACAATCAACTAATCATTATCAGAATTCTTACGTCTTTTTTTCTATGTGCATGAATTGAATTTAGAATTGAATAATTATACGTATTGGTTAATTTTTCTATATTTTATTACAGAATATTATAACGTAATAAAACAATGTTTAAATTGTTTCAATAATCAATATGATCAAATTTGACACGAAGTCTAACCTTTTTCAACGCCGACGGAAAACACAAGTTCATCAGAAACATTAACGGCGAGCTTGTTCCCATCTTCTGAGTAGTAATGGTAGAGTTTATCAAACAGGACCACACTCATCTTCAGTCCCTGAACTTTGTCAAGAACAGTTATTCCAGTGCTACTCTCTTTCTTTTTATCCTGAAAACGTAAACGTAGTTAATACTTTGATAAATCTTGTTAAATCTACGTGAGGTAAAACTCCTATTTAGCGCGGAGTTTGGGGAAAGCACAGTGAAATTTGTCGAAATTTGAACACTTGAAGCGAGTAGTGAACAGAGCCAAATAGACTTACAAAGCTGGTGAACGTAAACAGGACTTCATGATTTCCGGGTTTGTCCCAATGTACAGGTACGTTAATCTCTCTCGGCTGACTTGTGAAGACGGAGAGCGACATTTCGACAATCTCGTAAGGTTCTGGAGGAAAATCGGGTTAATTTAGCTTGAAGAATGAACTCGATGATTTTAAACATAAAGAGCTAGAGGTATAAATTGTGGTTAGAAAATAGAACGATCATAAATTTAAAAATATCAAACTGTCAAAATAAGAACACGCCTGTCCTTTACTGTACAATGAACATCAAATAGTAAAAACCTCCAGAATTTGGCATTTGGTTCTTTGTGTAAAGTCTAGCGGTGTCAGCACTCATCACAGCAATGAAACACTCACTACTCTCTACGAAAATGGGCCTCAAGATTGCACTGTTTATTCCTTTGACGAGGTTTAATGATGTTGAGTTCAGCAAGGTGTTCGATAGTCCACAACGTACCTGTAACGTCCCGTTACAAGGATTCAAGTAGGAAAAAAAGTTTAACAGAGAAAAAATAGTTTAAATCTAATCTTTGAATAGTTCAGGATATAATTATCAACAATTTTGGCGTCACAAATGCTTGGGTTGGCGACAATTGAACCCCGACAATTGACCCCCCGACAATACAATTTAATACAAATACAATTAACCCTGACCCTGACCCAGGACCCTGACCCAGGACCCTGACCTAGGACCCTGACCCAGGACCCTGACCCAGTACCCTGACCCAGGACCCTGACCCTGACCCCGACCCCTACCCCGACCCCGACCCCGACCCCGACCCCGACCCTGACCCTGACCCTGACCCAGGACCCTGACCCTGACCCTGACCCGTCCCCGACCCCGACCCCGACCCCGACCCCGACCCCGACCCCGACCCCGACCCCGACCCCGACCCCGACCCCGACCCCGACCCCGACCCCGACCCCGACCCCGACCCCGACCCCGACCCCGACCCTGACCCTGACCCAGGACCCTGACCCAGGACCCTGACCCAGGACCCAGGACCCAGAACCCAGGACCCTGACCCAGGACCCTGACCCAGGACCCTGACCCAGGACCCTGACCCAGGACCCTGACCCAGGACCCTGACCCAGGACCCTGACCCAGGACCCTGACCCAGGACCCTGACCCAGGACCCTGACCCAGGACCCTGACCCTAACCCGATCAATAGACCCCAGTGTAATTACATGGGGGGTCAATTGTCGGGGGGTCAATTGTCGCGGTAGCCGGTACCCAAATACTTCTCCCCGCAACTGAATAGTTAAACCATACATTTTTATTGAATTCGAGTGCTATTAAAAGTGGAGTAGTATAGAATTTGAACCTCTAAATCAATAGTTCCAGCCCTGGAAGAAAGCAATTGGACTCCGTAGATGTAACCTTTGCTCAATGATATGTCAGAATAGTAGAGGGTCCCAGGAGAGGTTTCTGTTAGTGAAGTAAACACACTTCCTGATACCAGCACTTTCGGATCTGATGAAAGAAAGAAAATCGGTGGAGTCCTAGACCATAAAAATATAAATGTAGAGTCAAAGTGTGTGGAATTTCAAGAGAAAGAAAGCTTTCAAGGGATAAGGAAATCCTTCATTAAAAATGCATGACAAAATTACGATTAAATATTCACTTCACAGCGGAAAACAATTTGATATCCCGTCAATATTTAAAGTTACCCATGATGAGAAACGAATACTTGTCCAGACCATCTGTCTTGACATTGACATATACATTGTACCCAGCGATCAGCTGAAAAGGCAACGTCTGCGTAACTCCACTTTCAACTGTAATGTATGTTTGGGGATGTTAATTTTACGACTACTTAGGATCTAGCTATAATCAGCAATACCAGATATTAGAGTTTGCAATATGAACCTGCCAGATGACTGCTGCATTCGATTAACTGGTTGGAAAATTTGGATACATTATAACATGCTTTATTGTACCAATCAGTTCTGATGGGGACTGGTCACCAATTATCATCTTGCAATGAACGGTTATCACTGTCGAGTTACTGATTGTCAAACCATCACTTGCTGCACTAGCTTTTATCCGTATTTCACCAGGTTTGAGGAACGTTCTCCTAAAGTGATTTATTGGATTGGTATAAAAGTAGAGCCACAGATTATTACTTTTCAAACTGATTTAAACAGAAATCAAACATTGTACTGGCATTGATTTGCTGTTGTTGTTGTAAACGTAAATTGTTTGCTTGTCACTTACAACACAGAGAAGACAGCATAACCATTGGAGCTTGTAACTGAAATTTCAATCCCATCAAGCACCAAATCCACCTCACCATTGTACGTTCTATCAGCAAGTGTTACAATTGCATCAACCTTGGAAACTAAATGATATAGAGGGTGTACCACAAAAAGCTAAGTAAATAAAATATTGAAGGGTTGTTAACCCTTTATAATCTAAACTCTATAAGTCTATTGCAGTCTTGAATTGAAATGAGAAATATCTGAAAGCATACTGTCAAAACAACATACCTGAATAGGCTCTGATATATTACCATCAGATGCTGACAGGGTTAAGAGTACAGGGAAACTTGACTCGGATCTACCAAAGCCAGCACATTCATTACTGTTGGAACAAAAGCAGAAGACACCGGATAGCCACCGGAAATGGCTGAAGTCTCGACGATAGCAGACACTTTTACATTGTACAGGATTTTTCTCTGTCACCGATTGGAATGATGCATCAGGGCACAGATCAGACCCTGTAAAATTTCATTTTGTAGTCATGAAAAGGTAACAAATTATACTTAACAGTATAGTACAAAAAATTACATTATTTTCATTGATAAAATTTCATCAGCAAAATGAAAAATTCTTACCTCTGACTCCAACTAGAAGCAAGCAAGCTGAAAAAATTAGCACTTTCCAATTCATATAACACTCATGACACTAACAGGAATTTCTTGGGGTCATTTATAAATTGCTGAATACAGGTAAATGGATATTTCTGCTGAAAATTTGTAACTTTAATTCACATGATTCAAATAGTGAAAAAAGTTTTAGTGCAGGCGCAACTTACAAAACAATATTGAATGCAATGAAACTGGAGATTTCTTCCAGAACAACAAGCAAGTTTAACATCCCTGTTTGCCCCACGAAAACCTCCACGTGGTGTGAGGTGGGTGGCTCGAACAGGAGGTGCATGGGTGTTTCTAACCTATGCAAAGGAAAGGACTAGCCATTTCTACAGCAAAGGAAAGGCTCTAATAGCCTCTACTAACTAACTAGAACCGCAGCATAACCGCTTTTCCCACAGGCAAATAACACCTTCGCAGGAAACTAACACGCTCACAGGCTCCCACATCTCGTGTAACGCCAAGATTTGGTTTTGGATCGGACACTCAAAACAACGATAGAGGAGCAGTCTCGTGTAACCCTAGAACTCTAACACTTAACAGACTCTAACACGCTCACAGGCTTCCACGTTTCGTGTACCCTAGAATTTGGTTTTGGATTGGACACTCAAAACAACGATAGAGGAGCGGCTTTGCACCGCTCCAGTTGAAAAATCGGAGTGACAGATTGTAACATGAGAAAGTTCTTTTTTGAAAGTGATGAGGATAGTTCGGTACCTATCCATCCTTCTATATGGCTCTGAAACATGGACTGTCAGCCAGACCCTCGCAAAACGTATTGATGGATGTTATACGAGAATGCTGAGGATGGCACTTAACATTGACTGGAAAGAGCGGCAGACTAACTCCAAGGTGTATGGACACCTCATCAGAGCATCTGATAAGATAGCTGCACGGAGGATGAGACTCGCAGGTCATTTAGCCAGACATGAAGAACTATTGAGTCATCAACTTCTCTTCTGGGAACCCCTTCAAGGACATCGTCGAAGGGGAAGACCACACCTCACATACATTGACATTCTTCGGAAGGACACGGGGCTTGACGACAGCAAGGAGATTAACAAACTTTTGTTTGGGCCCGGACGGTGCCGGTGGTTCTAATGACCATTTACTAAAATACATAAATACAAAATACAATATAGTATAGATATTATAATCAGAAGTTTTATAAATCCTATCCGTCCAAGTTAAACTTGAAGGGCGCTACACGCACGACGAAAACTCCCTTTAATGTGAGCTGAAGTAGACTACTAGTAGTAGAGCTAGTAGCGCTTGAAATTGACAGAACTGAAAACGAAATCTGACAATTGTCGCGAAAACTGACAGTTTTGTGTGCTCAAAGTGTCGAGAAATACTGACAGTGCAAGACTGGGCACACAAGAGTGAGTTAAAACATCCTCCACATAAAAACTTGAATACACTAATAATAATCAATTATTACACACAAGCTCATTCTGCAGTCTTATTAGTCTTATCAGTACTCTTTATAGCACCGTTTCTGATAAAGTGTAGCTTATCAGGCTGCTCAGTTACCAGTCGTTTCATGTCCCTGACGAGTTCTCTTTGCTTGGCTCTCTGTTCTGGAGATCGATCTGGGCTGATAAAAACAGTTTTAAACTTTTCCGTTGCTCGCAGGTTTCTCGATTTAGCGAGAATCTGATTAACAATTGTTGCACTTGCCGCAGTCACTTTAACTGGTCTCACAGCCTTGCCAGGTTTGAGCTTTCCGACTCTGCTAGCTTCGATTCTGGGTTTCTCTCCGATTGCTAAAAACACTTCACTGACCACGGTGCTGAGCTCCTCATTGTCCTGCTCCGATAAACCAAAAATCATCAGATTTTTGTTTCGGTCTTCCTCCTGTACCACAGTTTTCACAGCTTTCTTGATCATTTCAGAACTGACAGGCTTCTGAGATTCTGGACAATTCGCCTGTAATACCGAGCTGAAGGATTGGAATTCAGCCTTGACAGACTCTCCGACTGACGATTTAACTGACGTCTGCAACGATTCCAACTGTTCATTTTTGCAGGCTAGTAGTTCTGACTGTAGCTTAATGATGGTCTCCTGTGTCTCGAACATCTGATGTTTAACTGAGTTTGAGGCCATCTTGTAGTCCGTGGATACGACACCAGTGAACTCCTCCAAATATCTTAATGCCTCGTGCAACAAGTTACACGCAGTGTCCTTGTTCATCTTCTTCACGCACGAAGGGGATATATAATAGACAGATTTCGAAAAAAACTATTTCTGTTCGGACATTGAAGCCGCCCTAAGTCGAAGTAAGTCGAGTCGAGTCAGGTTCAAAAATGTTGACAACAATGTTTCTTTTACCGTGAAATATTAATACCAACAGTTTCGTCTCGATTTATAGCTGATTATGACGCAAAGTAATGTATTTCGAAATGACTAAAATTGTATATAATAAGTTATGGGCCAAAAATTATAAAAACTGCAAATATTTCGCAATAATTGATAAAAGCGCGCGCAAATCATAAAACAGCTAATGCGGAGCTAGCAGGGCATTTTAGTTCAAACTTAAGATTTTAAAGAAATAAATGCAGCCGTATTTCTCCAAACCTACAACTTTAAGAAACTCAAAGTAGCTGTATTTTGCCGTTAAACTATGCTTACTGGGCGGCGCTCAGCCTGTCATTCCGCCGAATCTCTATTCGTTTAACTTTATAAACTTTATATATTATGAACATGATTATAGCCTGAGGTTCCCAGGTAAGTCGTAATACAAAAGCTAATTTTACAAGATCAGTGATTACCTGGGGACCTCAGGCTATCATGTTCATAAACATATATAGAATAAAGATTAGGCGGAATGACAGGCTGATCGCGGCCCAGTAAGATCAGTGATTGCGTCACTTGACGTCACAAAAAAGCTTGACCATTGTTAATGGTCTGGCCCGGCGCGCGCTACTTCGTAGCACTTGCCGTCGGGCAACATTTCGAGAAGAAAGCGGCGGGCGCTACTTCGAAGAAATTTAGACGAGTAACATCCGTCAAAAAAGCATATGATCCTTATCATTTATACAAAAGATTTCTGTGTTTGGCTTGCGGAATTGTATTTGTAGGTTTACAACCTACCAGGACGGTACGCGTGCCGAGTTGGACTCGTCGACGGTCCAACTTAATATATGGTTGTATCACTTGCAACTTGGTGACCCCCACTGTCGCTTCACTACTAGAGATTCGACGCGATACAGGGGAGCCGCGCACTCGTGCGCAGCGGGTCATACAGTGTATGACAAATATATGGAACAAATATTTTACGAGTATCACCCATTAAGCTTGTATAAACCAGCTGTAATTGGGTAGTTCGTCATTCGACGGATGTTACTCGTCTAAATTTCTTCGAAGTAGCGCGCGCCGCTTTCTTCTCGATGGCAAGTGCTACGAAGTAGTGCGCGCCGGGCCAGACCATTAACAATAGTCAACCTCGTCATCCGTAATGCGCTAAGATACCCAACAAGAAATGCGGCCGCTTTTCTTTTGTGGATGGCCGCTCAATTTCCCGATCCGTGATGGCGTATTTATCATATTCCATACAACCTGGGGCCGGGACGGCCCAGTCTTTACTGTTTATATAAACATGCAAATATGGCGAAGTGACATGCCGACTGCCGAGCGCCGCCCAGTTAATATAATTCTTTATTGAATTTGAAAATCGTGTATACTTCTAAGCTATGTAAAATAACTCAAAATAATAATAATATGCTATCAATTAGTGCCTAGTGGGATACGTACATGATGAAATTAATAATTTACTTGGTTGGTTTAGCGCCGCGCGCCAACAATTATATAATTCAGATTATCACGCAAAATAACTTTGCGCAGGTAGTCACGTGGGCGATAACAGTGCTCGCAGGCACGTACGCACGCACGCACGCACGCACGCTCGCAGGCACGGTCGCAATGCTACCATATACATGATACAAAAAAAACCTCGATCGCTAACCCTTGTTTTTGACTCTTTTGTGCCTTCGGCACGAGTCATGGATCGGGAAAAAATCGTTGTATCACGTCGTGACCCCCCATATCGGTTCATTGATTCACTATGTCAATCCTTCGCATCTCGCCGATCTGCATACGTGGTTGCGAGAAGCATTATTGGATGCGCGCGCGCGACCCAGTAGTGCATCGCGCTACAAATCGGTTCACTATATGCTATATATAGTGGAACCCATGTAGAGTTTTTACGATACAGGGGAGCCGCGCACTCGTGCGCGGCGGGTCATACAACGTATGACAAAAAATCGTACTGGCTGGTGGTTTAATTTAAACAAATAGCTTGAGCTGGCGCGCGACATTAAGTGATTTGTTGTCATACGTTGTATGACCCGCCGCGCACGAAGTGCGCGGCTCCCCTCTGTATCGTCAAGGGGTGAAACGACCGTGGGTGTCACAACGTGATACAAGTGATTTGCACGCGTGGCACATGCGCACATTCCAATCTTCAAGCAGCCAGCACGTAACACAGTTCAGCCAATCAGAGGACAGGAATCTGCAAAGTTAAACTTAAAGTTGCAAACTTTTGATCGGCCCAAAATGAGACTTTTCTGGAAATTTCGAGATAACTCAAAATCTACGTTGTCACAAAATTTTCCCCTGGGGGAAATTTTTTTTACGAGGCGAGCATTTTGCAAAAAACCGGATAGGAAGTCCCTATCTCTTTTACTTTGGAAGTTAGGCCCAGCCAGTGTTATGTATATAACAGTTCGTTATTCATGGATCATGGATTGATCCCGAAAGTTCTAGAATATCCTAAAGCTGGCCTGCCCACGTCTTTGCTCTATCACGACACCTTTGCGAGTATTGGTTGACCCTGCTCACGTGATAGTTTAGTCATAAGAACCCATTGTCTGCCAGCACATAAATGATTTAGCTCTGCTAACTTGCCCGGCCGCACCTAACTTTACACAATTAAACTGGCATGAACTTTATCCGTTGCCATGGCAGGCATCTAATACATCACATCACGTGACCTTAACCCCTTTCTCGTGATTTCAACTATCAATATAAAAAGCTGTTCTTTCTTCATTATTAGACACTTCTATTCGAAAGTTATTCTAACAACTCCTGTTTCACTTTGTTCAAAAGAGCCAAAAAAGTTCAACATTGGTCTGGAGTTCAACATTGGCGACGAGGATTCCAGAACCTTCGAGCGGATTGTCGACTACGAGGACCAACCTGAGTTAGAAGACCTGATATTAAAGTGGACCCCGATCCAACTTTGAAGACCTGATATTAAAGTGGACACCGGTCCAACCTTGAAGACCTGATAAGGCCAAGGTTTCCTGGGTTTACTTTCCGAGTTAGATCACAGCCAGTAAGGTTTTTTGGGTTTAGTTAGCTGTTCACCTAACTTGCTAGTCTTTTGCTCGCTCCTCTCACGTATAGAGCCAGAGGTAGCTTGAAAAGTTTAGCTGTTTAAAAGTACAACGTGTATTAATTACTAAAGGAAAAAACATTTGTAATATAAAACTGATACTGAAAGTACGAATAGCAAATAGACTTGTTGTATTAATTGTGCATCAAACAATTTAAAAACGATACAAATGTTATTGTTTAAATATAAACACAAAAAAACAGGTTATGACAAAATTTTATTTGGATCTCGACCCATTGGTTGCACATTCAACTCCGATTCAAGGTAACGAATCATTTAATGAATCATATAATATGTGTTTCAACACGTAATCCGTTATAGGACAGGATCGTTTTTAATGACCGATCCTACTGGGGTGAAAACTGGTGTAAAAACTCTACAATATAGTGAAACGACATTGCACGGGGGTCACGACGTGATACAACCAGTTTCCAAATCTGTGCTACTCTGTTAGTGTTATTGTTTAAAAAAACATGCAATAGAGCAACAAAACAATCGATAGTGATACAGTTGTACCTCGCTGTAACACACCTCGAGGGAGGAAAGAATTTAAACAAAAATCGCGTTATAGCGAGGTCCGTGTTACTGTTATAATATAACGTCAACGAGGTACTACTGTAACATCACCATTCATAAAGTGTGTATTTGAGTTGTCATACGTATCGTTGAAACTCTATAGTGAAACGACAGTGGGGGTCACGACGTGATACAATATTTGAGCATGCATGCATACAAAACGCAAATTAAAATTAAAACTGAATACTCTACAGCTGCTTTGAGCTGAACGATCTGTTTCAACCTAGCTGTAGTGTAACAGTAAAACCGAAATAAAATGTTCATACCTCTCATTCCAGTCTAATTTTATTGGCGTTTAATGCCCGTTTTTTTGGAGTACAGCAATTTCTAGTGGAACGATTGCATTTATTAGCCGCATATCATATGTTACAAGTTTGATATTTCTTCTAGCGGCTGGTTTGTTGAACAAAATTATATGCTATAATATTTGTTATAATATAGTAGTGCTGAAAGTATTAAAACAGTTTTAAAACTTTCAACACTACTATACAACAAATGATTTGAATTCTGATGAAGCAGGGAAGTGATTATCTTATTTTATTCCTTCATTATTTCGGCGTATAATTTCATTCAACAAGCCAGCTCCCAGAAGAAATATCTAACTTACAACATACCTACAATATCTAATTCTCTAATTGGACATGTCACACTCAAAAGAATATTCTGTGTCTGATATGGAGCCACTTTTAGCATCATACTCCTGCGGCTCATCCAGCAGCTCATCTTCCTTGCCCGTGAGAGTGTAGATGAGAATACCGAAGCAAGTCACAACCATCCCCGATAGGTAGATGTAGTCGTAGGATAAGGAGAACATGTGGACTCCAGCTATTGCCGCGTACACGTCCGCAGCGAGAATGTTAATTGTTGCAGCTCCACAACCGTACCTTTTCAGCATGATGGGCATAGCAGAGTAGAAAATAAACTGGGACACCGCCAGTCCTGCCACCCAGAACAACATGTCGGCGTGTTCTGACAAGGTGTGGATGAAGATCTCCCGCTCCAGAATGCCCACTTTAGCCAAGCTGAGTGCTCCTGCATACCAACACATGGTTCCAATGTACTGGTATGTACTGAGCTCCTGCAGGATCCACTCCTGACAGACAGTACTGGCCCCGAACAGAAGAGCACCCACAGCGCACATGATGTCTCCTTTAACGTTGGAGGGATCGTCCACGTTATAGTCACTGTACACTATCAGCATAACCCCCACGATAGACACAGCAACCGCAGCGTACTGGTAACACCTGTAGGACTTGTGGAGGAGAAACTTGGAGATAATGATCGCTACTGGAATCGCCAGACAGTCCAGAGATTGAACGCTGGTTAGAGAGGTGTAGGAATATGACTTGTAGATCCAGTACCAAGCCTCCACGTCTATCACAGCGTTGAGGAAGCACCTCGCTCCGGATTTGGAGAAGAGGATGGTGAAACCGTTCCTAGCCAGCTGGTAGATCCCGTAAGTGAGACAAAGGAGAACGTAGTTCGCTGCTGTCTGGCAAGCTGGCAAGGGCCTCTGAAAAGATGTTAAAACTTAAAACTAAGTGGTCAGTTTCAAGTTTGTGAGAAATTTAAGAAATCTCAAATTATTTTATATGTTATTTGTTTGTCGACTTCTTTCCAAGCACAATCATTTTACACATGTCGTTGTCAAGAAGTGACGGATTTAAAGCAGAAACCTTGAATAATTCGTTGATTATTTGGTTGAAGATTCCGGACACTGCGTTGCAAAGTGCTAACATTTGACCAAAGAACAATCCTCCAAGTAAGTAGGTTAGCGTTTTCTGGGGATGAATTTAGAATATTGCACATCGTTATTACTCTGTACTTTTTGAATATGGTGTTATACCCTTCGTTAATGTTATTCTTTAGTGGCCAAAGCAGGGAACTTATACTGTTCTGCTTCCAAAGTAGAACAGAACAGAACTGTTCAAGTCTAAAATCTAAATTTACTTACACGCTGCCACTTTCCTGTTCCTCCCTTGACCTGCATTTCGGGGATCTCGTTTGGGTGCTGCCCTGAGATATGTTGGATCAAGCTGTCCGTTCACACTCACAGGAGTGTAAAAACGTTAGCGCTTATATGGTTAATGACATAACCATTTCAATGTTTGACTTTGAGACTTAATCTCCTCATTATGAAACTTATAAGAGGTTTTTCCATGACATTGGATCGAATCTTGGTTAAGTCTAGTATATATTATACTAGTATTATATACTAGTATAATTATATAATACTTTTATTCATCAATATGGTTCATACCGCTTTGTTCATCGTTCGCCTTAATTTTGTTCTTCTTTTTATTGTTCTCTCTGAAATGGAATTGTTTACCAAATTGAGATATAGTCATATACTATTACTAATACAGTGGGGAATGGTATAATCATACCAAGGCAGCGTAAACCCGGCCTCTAAAACTCAACCTTCTATAACTCACCTAACGACGACACGCACAGGAATTATATTTCAACTTATCCCGCGGCGTGCAGGATAAGTGGATAGCATGATCGGCATGACGGTTGAACTTGAAGTCGGTATTGATAAATATTAAGATTAAGAACAATCAAAAATAAAAGTTGAAAAGTTCTCTAACCTCGATTCTATGATGAGGATATATTGTCCGCTTTCAGTCACTGAAAATCATTCATGTTAGAATTGAAATTGCCGAATTCTTCTTCAACGGATTATAATTGGTACAAGTGAGTTTACTTCCAAACAAAAAGGAGACTAATTACTCATGAATAACAATGTTCATAAATATTGAACATTGTTCATGACCAGTTATTCTATTTCCCTACATAATATAATGACCTTAACCTGAGCCCCTTTCATCTTTTTCCTACATACCTTTGTTAAGAACGTTTTTCCAGAAACTACTTTTCTCCTTTTCACCATCAATCAGCTGAGAATAGGTTTTTTCGTCCCCAGCAAGAAGTTTTGTATTTTCCGTGGCCTTCGTATTCTGTATCATGTTCGACCCTTTCATTGTCAGAAACTTCCAATCGAAGAATCTTTAGACATTTTTAGTAAGTTGTTAATTATAATCCAAAATATTTCAGATAGTAAGACAATTAAAAATACAAGGATAGCGTATTTGAGCTACCTTAGTTCGTTTATTTATGGCGGATAATATTATGGCAAGTAAAAATAATGACGGGCAAGAACAAAGAATATGGTGGATTTTCCGAAAATCCGCCAAATTTAACCCTCCGCTTATTTACCTGCAACATTATTTTCACAAACAAATTTGAAAATCCACCGATTTCTATACCTCATGCCATATTGCAAAATTCCGCCCAATATAATTTCCAGACTGTTTATTTGTTTCGAAATATAATAACATTTAAAATTAAAAGTATTGAAGTATAACATCTCTGTTGATATGGGTAGATATAGGTAGTAAGTATGAATAGGTAATAACTAATAAGTATCATAGCACGGTATCAATCATTTTAACACTAACAGTACTTGTGCGTCCATTACAACCAAAGTATTGTTTTTTTTTCGAATAGAACCACCTCGTTGAGATCGGAATACCTAAAAAGTGAGTTCATGACGCTCGTTTCAATGTAAAAAAGGAACAATGAAATGATTATGCCATATTCCCTGACAGATCAACTCTAAAAGTTGACTCGGTGGGTTTTATTATGGCGGGTAAAAATAACGATACAACAACAAGATACAACAATACAACAATGATATATTGCAAGCTCCTGTTATGTAAAAAGAGTTGACCAAAATAAAGCGTCCAGTCGTGAGCTAATAGCATTAAGAAACGTACTAGAGAACTGTGCAACGATGATGTCCAGTATAAAAAAGAGAATGAATTTCAAGCACATTAAAGCCTATAGCGCACCGATTTATAATTTGTGGTTTTTTAGAGGTTCTCAGAAAAGTTATCCAATGAAAATACTCATTAAAATCAGTCCAATAAGTCCAGAGGTCCTAATTGCGAATTCTGCGTATCCACGAGGCGCTTGAATATAATTAACTGAGATTTCAACCGCCAATTTTAAATCGGTGCACTATATCGCTCATCTCCAGAGTCCATGTCCACTATCCAGTTGGTAGCAGAATAATTATTATATCTTGGATATGAATTAATTAAAGACAGCTATTTTATGATTTCGTAAAATAAATTGCATCACTGTTGAGCAAAGAACACGAATTCCTCGAGAGTATTACAGTCAGGTATGCGGTATCTGACCAGAGTATGTAACCAAAATTTAGGACATTCTTTACAGATCTTTGAACACTAACAGCATGCTGAATGCTCCAGGCTCCGGCAGGAATCAGGTTATTGCAGTCACGTAGCCAGTTTAGAAAGGTCTCGTGCGCAAGATTATTAAAAGATTAAACATAATTCAGGAATATGCTAAAAGTTGTTCCTATGTCAGATCACGTATTCCATAAATGGAGCCCTAACGTTTATTTTGTAGTGGGTCATTCTGAGTACTGTAAGTAAATATTACAATTCACGTGAAGTTTCTAACTGGATAATATTGATACTACAGGGTGGGCTAGAGATAACTGACTTCACTATAATCGTATTTTACTCTTCAGATCCTCCACTGATTTTCACCAACCCAACATTATTAGTTTCTTTGACAGACACCTTGACGTTAAACGACAAAATAGAGACAATACCAGAAATACAAGGAAACTACAGCACACTACTTTACAAGCTGTCCAGCATTCTCCATACACAGGAAATACTACCTTGGTAACTATACCATCAGAGAGGATACCTTCCATCACACCTTCTCTATCAGTAACATAGTGGGGTTCGATAGAGTTACCAAGTATCTAGATTTCTATGAACCCCCTTAGTCTTTTTTATGTTAGCCATAGTAGACGTAATTGTCCCTCTACCACAATCACCCTCCCTTCCCCAGATCGTGTTCAGACTTGCATCAGGTCCTGCTACTCAGCCAGTTCTAAGGGCTCATCAGTCCACTGGACAGACGGCACTCCTAGCTTGACCCAATACTTGTCTCTCTCTCTCTCCCCCCCCCCCTTTTTATTTCTTGATTGTGGAAGGACAACCACGTTACTTACACAGTTTCCTTTTATTTTTCAATCATATGATTCAGTGACCTCCCCAGCCCTCTATATCTTTAACATGATACCTCCCAGGACCATAGTATACCATACCAGACATTTCTTTAACTCCTCGTTACAGCAAGGTTACTACAACACGAAGAAGAAAAGAAGTGGAGAGAAGAATACGACAGCCATGGACTCTTACAAAAGACTAACAGAAGGAACACCCCGGTTTGATCTTTCTGAACTATGCATCTTATATCAGTATAGTATTGGTATCAATTTATAACCTATTGTTATTTTTTATATTTGCTAGTTAATCAGGTTTTTGGGTACCGGGCCATCCTGGTTACCCTGCTATGGGCCGTTCCCCTGGCTTCTGCAGGTCTAGTTTACCCATATATATAACTGACAATTTTCATTCTGGACACGAGTTTGTGAGGAGTGTGCTTATGGTACATACACATATAACTACTTTCGACACAAAGAGTTCATTGTCCAATGATCTTGCCATGCTGCTACCATCGTGACTCTCTCGTGGTTGCCACATGACAGCTTACCAAACTGCTAATACTCTAATCTTCTAATAGATAACGCACTTTAGTAACGTGGAGACTATATAAAGTTATGATAGTTCATGATTCTCAGAATCACAGTCACGTCCGAAACCTATATTTTTTATTGAATAGCTTAGCTATCAAGTTAATATTTAATAGGTTATTCAGCCATCTTAGGGAGGCTCAAAATCGTCGTTTGAATGTGGGACAATTTTGAAAAACTTAACTGAGGTAGCAAAACTGCGCGTTTTGCTCTAGGGGGGGGGGGGGGGGGGGGGGGGGGGGGGGGGGGGGTTGGGCGCCAACAGGCAACGTTACGCCACTGGACGGGTCCTATAAAAAACAAACAATTATACTCAGAAATACCAAATGATTTTTTAGATATCATTGAGCATAAGCAGTGATACAACGTATCTCGGGATGATCCGCAGAGTCTCGACTAGTTTCGGCTTACCGCCATCAACAGGATCGATGAATCATCTAGCGGGAAATTTGAAATCAATTATCAATAAACAACATTCCGAAAGTATAAAAGTAAAATTCAAAAGAAAAAGTCAGTAGGAAAATGTACGAAGTAGGTAATGTAAATAAGGTAACTACTGTGAAAGCATGGAGTGGGCCAAAACAACTACAAAACGTGCAGAGTAAGACTGAACTGAGATAGGAAGTTAAAAGGAGGAAACACGTTCGCAAGCAAAAAGTACACTTTACTGCTAATAACCTAAGAGAGAGAGTGTGTGTAAGAGTAAAGGGTAAAAATAGCCAAACATCGGACCTAATTCCCGGTAACTTTGCTTCTATTTAACCCAATAATCCTCGCTTTAAATTTCTCGATATAAATATCTTCAAACATGTTAAGTTCCTCTCTACTACATTGTTTAATAATACCCAAATTAAAATTGCTTAATTTCTCAGAAAGTTTGTCTTGGTGCATTTCAGATATGTGCATGGAAAGGGCCGATTTAGTGTAACAACCTGGTTTAAAAGCTGCCCTGTGGCTGTTCATTCGTGTGCTTAAAGTCAACCAGGTTTGGCCGAAATAAAAGCCACTATCGCACAGTTTACATTGGGCTACATAAATCACGTTTTCATTACTACAGTTAAGCCGCATGTCAATTCTGATAATCTGTTTGTTAACTGTCAAAGTACCATTTGCTGTTCCACTAGTTAGCTTGCATGTAAGACAGCGAGGTCTATTGCAAGCTTGTGATGTTATGTCCGCCGTATTGATGGAGTTGGGTGCTGAGTCAGCAGGTGTTGTCGCAAATCTCCGCCTCTTGAACATTTCATCTGCGATGTTGTTGTCCCTTCTGTGAGCTATTGTTATGGATACCTGCTTACCAATGATATGCTCAATAGTTTGTTTCTTATCTTCAAGGAAGCTCCTGATTTCGTTGAGTTCCTTGCAGTACTGTGTTGAGAGGATCAAGTTGCAGTGTTCACTATTTGGCATAGACTCATTGGTATTCTCCCTCGGTGTAAGGCGTTGATCCCGGTTAACCAGACTAGCTTTGGTTAATGCTGCCTTAAGTTCTGCATCCCTGTATCCGCTTTTCTTGAAGTCTCCCATAATCTCTTGTGCTGCTTCCATAAAAGTGTCCTCATCTGAGCATATGGTTTTTGTTCTTAGAAGTTGTGAGTAAGGAACGCTTTTGAAGACATGAGGAGGATGGTGACTGTTCCTCTGTAGAAAAGATCTGTTATCAGTAGGTTTCTTGAACAGAGAGGTAGCCAGAGTTACTGGTGTGTCGTGTTCTGGATCTGTTATCCTAGAAATACCAAATAGAAGACTAGGAAGGAGATTGAGATCACTCTACTCGGTTACTATAACATTCCTTTATTAAGTTATTATATTTCCCAGAAATACACATTTAACTTCCTTTCTTAGAACAGGGCATCTTAGTTAACCTGTTTGACTATGAAACGGCAACTTCACCCAATAGTCACTAGAACATGTATCGGGTTTCTAAATGCAGCTCTAGTTTAGCTGCCTCCTGGTTTCTACTGCTATAATTTCGGAGACAAAATAGAGACAATTTAAATTTGCAATAATTGTATGGTAATGACTAATAATATGTAATAATTATTAAAACATCTCCCATAAAATCGTCATAATAGGTTAAAGCTAGTGTTGCCGGTCACACACAGTACCACCAGACACCAGCCCCAGTACCATCAGTACCAGTACCATCAGTACCAGTACCACCAGTACCAGTACCACCAGTACCAGTACCACCAGTACCAGTACCACCAGTACCAGTACCATCAGTACCAGTACCATCAGTACCAGTACTACCAGTACCAGTATCACCAGTACCAGTACCACCAGTACCAGTACCATCAGTACCAGTACCATCAGTACCAGTATCACCAGTACCAGTACCACCAGTACCATTACCACCAGTAC